GGGCGGTTTTGTTCGTTTCCGGGGAGGAAAAACAAAAAAAGCAACAGATATATGTGCCCAGTGCTGATCGATGCCCTGCAATATTCTTAACCAAATGGACAAAACACATATGTCCAGGAATGGTTGACCACATTTACATTCACACACAGTTTATCCAAACAGGGGTGGTTTTTGGCCCCTCCAAAAGTGATGGTTCCCCACTAAACCCGGGGACACCTACTGATAAACTGGGGTTGATGAATACGGGGACAACAATACTGATAGATTCCCTTCAAAACCAGGGGAACATACGCAACATATTCTTAACAAATGGATGCTAAGATTTCAGGTCTGGGCGAACTCATCAAACTTTTACATCCGCTTTTGGTGGACTTACGAAATGAACAGTTCTGGGCTATGCGCCCAATGGTCTCCCTTTGAAGAAAACTAGGGCACTTTCCAAAGCTCGTCATCCCTTTGGATGGGTCCCATGCCACCTCACACCACCCCACCCCACTCCACCCCACCCAAAAGGCGACCGAGGCTATCACAGAAAGTGGCAAGCTGACCCCCTCGTCCCCTTCCTCGGCCCCAGTTTTGTGGCTTGCCTATGGCGGATTCCTAAGCATTTCGAGGGAATGAACCATGGATGCCACTGTGGATGGACAAAATCCTGCACCACCTGAGAAACATTGGAATGATGATTCCCCTGCAAATACCAACCTACAATGGTTTCCATGGTTTCCAAGTGGTGCGAAAATCGACTTCGTCCATCCACAGCATGAAAAAAGGTGGGTGCCAAGGGCAACCATATTCATTAGGATATGGCGGTCATTAGGGTTGCCGGTTGCTGGTTTTCGCTGCCACTTGGTCAAAGGCGAACTCTCTGAGGTCTGTTTTCATTGGCAAGACCCGTCTTCCACAGATATACCCTGGGCAAGCCTCGTCTGCCGATTTTGTATACGTTTCAACTTCTCACGAACACCCACCTGTCTCCATTTGAAGTGGTCCCGGCGAAGGGGGCTGTTCGCAAGCAGTCATCTTTGAATGTCCGGCCAAGTTAGTATGTGGTTGGCCACCTGGATTATAATCCACCAAAAAACAAGGCTAACTCCCCTTAGAGAGCATATAATATACGCGGGTTATAACCCAGGTTACGCACAACCCTTTCCCTCTGAACCCACCATTTAAACGAGACATCACCAGCTGAAAAAAATATGTTGGACAGGTCCTTGGCTTCCTTCTGACAAGGGATTCACACTGTAGCGCTCAAACGACTGGCCAAATGAAGACATCTACCCAGGCACATCCCCTCCCGCGGGTGTCGAGCTCCAGAAAAATTATAAAGCCGGCCTGGGGCAAAAAAGGTCTCCCCGCAGAAGCGCACCGTGCCCACCTGGTCATTCCTCGGCCAAAAAAAACGCTGTGCCGGCCCATGGGCGCGAAAATGAATGGCTCGCGTTTTAGAATTGTCGGTGCAAGAAATGGGTGGCTCGTCGTTAACAAGGGCTCGACTTTTGGTTTGAAGGGGACAAAAGGACAGTGTGGCCATTGTGGGACTACACCCTACTTGGAGGTTCGCTTCGCCAAGGCAATAAATTGTTAACCTAAGGTATAACTCGGAAACAAAAACGCCCCGCCCCCCGTTCAGTGGAGTTTTCCTTGTTCTGGGTTATAACCCAGGTGGCCTTTTCCACTTACTAACTTGGTGAATGGAACATCCAAGTAAGCTCAAAAGGTCTGTACACAGGTACACATGATCCATGGTTAAATTGACCATGGGCATTTTGCTTTCACTCGCTTCACCCTGGACAAAAGCCACTTCGCAGCGGGCAGGTGACAAATCCCACCTGGAGCGTAAAGGGGCGATCGATTCGGTACGTCAGGTAAGTGGTGATCGTGAGCCTGGTGAGAGATTCCACTGAACGGAGACTTATAACCACCTAGAGTCTCCACGACCCTTGAAAAATGGGGTCAGTACCCAAAATTTTGGGGTCATTGACCCATTTTTAAAGGGTCATGGAGACTCCAGGCATGGCTTTTTGTGGGTTGCAACCAGGCTTACCAACCACTTACTACATACCCGATCGCCTCTTTAAGTGGGTCTGGGTACCCAAAATGGAGCTGTCCACACCATGATTTGTCCCATATTCGGGACCCGATCGAATATGAGAAGGACAGTGACTTGCTAAGGCGAGCAGTTCAAACACCTCACTGGGTTTATAAAAACAAGAAAGAAATATAATAAAAAAGGCCATTCATTCCTGGCATTCTGGATTTCTAAGATGAAGATAATAAAAAAGGAAATGTAATAAAAACAACAATATGAAAATAGGAAATGAAAGATAAAAAAGACAATACGATATAAATAATAACCAAAAAGAAAGGTAAAGACTATTACGACAATAGAAATCCAAAAGAGAGGACACAAACATAAGAAAAAGAAAATAACAAGATACAAATACAAATAAGAAGATTCCAAAAAGAAAACAAACAATAAAACTCCAACATCCCCAAAGGGTAGAAATATGAGAAACTGGGAAACCGCAATGAAGGGCCTGCCAGAATTTACACTTTCAAGCCACGTTTGGTGCTTGCAAGCCACATTTTGCACTTGGTCCCATAGGTCGTGACCATACATAACATATACCTCTTAACACACACCAGCCTCACTAAACACACCAACCTCAATAGGAAAGTATGGGTCTACACATGTTTCCCCTCAAGGGCTTCAACGTTGGGGTTTCTCCAATTTTGTGCTTGCACTGTAGTTGTTGACCACGGAATATTGTCTGTTTCAATGAAGTAAAACAGGCATTATGAAATACTGTGTAACCTTAAGTCTTTTCTATTTCTCGGAAATCCGACTTTATCTTCACAAACCTTTTTAAACAATAGATGCTGCAACGAAACTGACAGTAGAGCAATGTAGAGCATCTCCAGGTTGCACGGACACCCTATTGCTTGATGTCAAAGAGACATCTACGGTGAGTATGCCACTGGAACTAGAACACGCAAGGGGAAAACACTGGAGACGGTTCCGTTGGGCTTCATTAATAAATAGGCGGCAACGTGACGCACATGAGCGTACTATAAGGGCTTTGATAAAGAGAAGAGGGTTGTGGGATACTTAGAAACACTTTTAGTCATGACTGTTGGAGTAAACTACTAGCAACTAGTCAGCCCGTTAATGGTTGGCCTACCTCCCTTTTTGGACACGCCAGAATTCCAAACACAGGTCTGTGTTGTGCTCAATCCAAACTTGCATTTGCTCCTAACATAATCTCTCGTTTGACCAAGGTTTGTGATTCTTCTGGAGCCACAAGCAGACGCTGCTAAAGCAAGCCGACAATGCGTGTTCCGTACTTGCAATGATTTTGAGATCAAGTGCGTGGATGGCGGCATAACTTTCAAGGAGCCCACTATGTGTTCTTCCTTATATAATCCCGCGAACTGCAGATTCGCTTAGACTAGCCTAAGATGCGATATTGATGCTTCACAGCGCCCGAACAATTGCAACAGAACGGGCTCGGCTTGAATGCAGTCTCCTTGCTGGAGTGTTTCCCCCTCTATCTGCGGAAGGTGCCACTGAGAACTATTTGAAATTACCAGCTAGGTCCTCCAGTAGAGAGGTTAGAATAGGGGTACCCTTCCCCAAAAAAGGGTAAACGGGCACTACTGGGGGACCTAGCCAGTGAGTCAAAAAATATGTTCCCGACAACAGTACACCGAGGAAGTACAAAGAGCCAGCAAACGAGTGTCGTTTTTCGGCGGGAGCCCCGAAATGTGCTTCGCCTTTCAAGCCATCGACGCGCACCCTCAACAATCACACCCAAATAGAAGGTGAGTCTGGTGTCTTTCAAGGTGATCGTTTTTTGTTTTTTTTTTGGAGTCTTCAAATTGGTGTGTTTCTCTGCCCTCAAGTTGGACACTCAGCTTCCCCCCTGAAGGTTGGGCAGTTTCGAATCTACAAAAACCCCAGAGTTCAGATCTCCAAGAGCCACCAAGCACCAACTAAGTCTAGGTTCTTGAGTACCGTTTCGTTTTTCTGTAGTCTATTTTGGTAGGGGAACCCTTCCCCAAAAAAGGTAAAAGGGCGCTACTGGGGGACCTAGAAGTGTTACCTGACCAGAGTCTTTAGGCTTGTCTCTTGCAGCGATGTCTGTCGGGCGGCACGGTGCAAATAACCCGATCGCCGAGCTTAATGATGATGTCCTTCTCGGCCATGGCAGGTGAAACGTCCCTGCCAATTGCCCCAAGCTAGGCTGGCCACTCTAAGTTGCAAGGTTTGCGCTATGTTTCAAGCAAACCAAATCCAGTTGTGAGGTCGCGACAAGCTTTGCACATCTTACCACAATGTCCAAAACCTGAAACAAGGGATCCCTGAGCTAAAGAGCCTTACTCGTGGTGAGCTCGTTTTACAAACACAATCGTCGAGCTCGATTTCAAAAAAGGCAGATCCACAAAGGCGCGTAAATCAGCCAGGCCCTCTTTGAGGGAGGCTCTGAGCCCAAATCGGCTCGATGCCCGGAAACAGCTCGCGTGCAGCGAAGGCTGCCTTGAACTGCGCGGATCACCAACTGCAGGTATGCCTATTCTTTGGGGACCCCCCAAAATGAAGGTTTTCCTGTTGGTTTCCCTTTAAAACCACAAAAAACGGGTGCTCTCAAGGCAGACCCAACTGACCTGCGGTTCGAACATCAATTTGCAAATGCAAAAAGCGCTCAATACAGTGGATGGACGAAAACCACCTAAAAACGCTGGGGTGGTGCTTCCCCTGTAAATAACAACAAACAATGGTTTGCCATGGTTTCAAAGTGGTGCAGGGTTTCGTCCACCCACAGTAGGCACGCAATCCGCCTAAAACCTGGAAGGGAATTGCCCACTGATTTCACCAGTTAGGTGTTCTAGCACTCGCGCGAAGGGACCTCTCAAAGACGTCAAGCACCGAATTCTGCCCTGAACAGGCTTTTGGGGATGGTCCAACCCAAACCTCATGCTTTATGGGTGCCCTGACCACCATCCCTTGTTCATGTTCAATCTGTTTGGTGTGCCTTCCATGACTTGCTCGCTTTTCCCCACATGGCATATGGCATGTACCTGGCATAGAACAGCCCCACCCCCCACCACTTCATTTTTGAGGCCGGACGAGGTGTGTGTCATATGTTGACTGGCATGCCCGACGAGTTGGTTGGCTTTCCCTCAACAGGTTTGTCATGTTTGTCGCAAACCCCCTTTGGTTGCCTTTTATGTTGACACCCCTTCGATCAACAAACATGCCCCTTCTGCCCATGCGCCCCTGGATGGCGCGCATTCTTCCCGGAACGCGAGATGGAATCGCCCTCAGAAACAAGCAGCGGGACATGTCTACCAGAAACAAGCTTGGTGAGTGTTTTGCAAATGTTTTGCAGAAATTGCCCCGTTGGCTTCTATGCATTGTGCCAGGATTCGCCCGCAGGGCAGCAGCGTCAGCTGCTCTCACGGCACAAAACTCGGTGACCATCTCAGAGGTCGTCGCTGCCTCCCGAGATAGAGAAGTGCCATTGGTATCTCCGGACAGAAATAGACACATTCTGTTCGCAATATGTTACACACACAAGCGCACACTACAGGTTTCCTTGTTTTCTCACGGGCACACGACCCTACCGAAGAGAAAGGCGCAACGGCAGGTGAGCAAAACACCTGAAGACGTGCACGTTGCTAAAACCAACGAGGGAAAGAAGTCTTCAAAGTGGCAGCCTGCTAAAACAGCCGCAACCAACCACTTTTTTTTGACTCAGGAACCGATCCCAGAAGTCATGCTGGGCAACGTGGTATCCAGACAATTCTGGAAAAACAGCTTTCGCGACCAAGCCGGACCCCAACACGTGCCCAGCAAGCTTCCAGCTGAAAAACAAGGCCTAAGGCAACCCGTGTTATCAACATGTCTTCCTCAAAACTTCCGAGATCCACGGGCCGGACCAACATGACGACGTATGAATGTTTCCGGCGGGCAGTGCCTGAGTGCGCACCTACAGCAAACACGCTCATTGCAGCAACTGCCTGAAACTAACTAACACCTCTGCTATGACCAGGAAACACTACAAGTCAACATAGGCTAAGCAGCCTTCAACTTGTGTTAGTCTTCCATTTGCTCAAGTCCCCAGGAAAATAACATATTTCCAGCAGTAATAGATTCCCTAAAAAAAACAGCAGGGAAATCAAACATGTTCTGAACCGCAAATGGACGTAGTGGATTTATACGGACTTACATTGATTTTCCGTGATTTCCCGCTAGGACAGTCGTTCGCGCATATAATGACGAGTCAGCAAGCCCGTCCGAGGCTTTCGGCACCCATGGACCAGTTTTCAATGATCACCGAGGGCCCAAGAAAAAGTCCTGACCGAAACCTGCAGGTTTGATCATTTTTGGAAGAGATCCGACATCCCCCCGCACTCTGCGACGCCATTTTTCCGTGGAACTTCCATGCACCTGGCCGTTCACAGGCTTCAACTCTGTAACTCTTCCAGGATCAAACCAACAACCGGTGCAACATTAAAATTCAACTGATGCAATTTGAGCTCTGACTCCAAATTTGAATTCGAGTTGATGTTCACGAAACTGCTACAGTGGTGGTTTGCATCAATGGTGCTATGATCCTGGAGCAGGGAACTGTATCAAACGGAAAACTATGACTGGTTGACGGCGCTAATGCATCCCAGAATCATGTGTGGCAAACCAGTCCCAAATATGATTGAAGCAGAATGTTCCGAACCACCAACCTGCCACCAACCAAATCACAATCACTGGCCACTGGCTCCCCCTATCCTCTTTGAGAGCAAAGGCCGGCCACAAATTGGACTGTGCAAGCCAAGCCTGAGATCATCGCGCAAACTATGTCCCAGGCTTGAAGACCAACACAGATCATCCCCGGTGTTCTGGCGGTGTCCTGTCTCCCTTTCAAACCTGTGGTTGTTATGGTAGTGCAAGCTTTGGTCCTTTTGGGGCTTTCAAAACCATTCACGTATAACCATGTCATATGAGATACATCACGGTGCCATTGCGGCGCTTGGTTTCCATGCTTTCGATATGGTTGGATCTGTTCACCGCCTGCACCAAATGATCTGCATTTGTTTCCACGCTTGTTGGTGGAACTTGAACGTGTTAGTGTCAATCAACATATCGCCACACCTCTCCCTGCTCACATGATCGGCACACTGGTGGAACCGAAGAGCCTTTCACGCTAATGGTGTACATGGAATACTTGAAAGGCTGGTTGCATGTCATGCATCGAGTTGTTGCGATGCTCTCTTTCACCTTGGCTTTGCATGAAGGGCACACCACTGCTTGGTACTCCTCAATAAGGTCAATGTACTCCTGATCGCGCACTGTAACAAACCCGTTGCAGTATTCGCAAGTCAGAGGCCCGTGAGAGGCAAACCTTGTTGAGAGCTCCCCCGAACAGTCTGAGACCATAGAAGCGGTCTCCCATGCAAATTGGATTGGGGACTCCTTCAGCTGCAAACTGCGGCAAATGTCATTGCAGCAGTGACCTACGAAGAACTGATCCATGCCACTCTTGCCAAGATTGCCACGGCTGAAGAAGTCCTTCTTCACGCAATGGATTTGAGGATCTGTGAAGACTGCTGAACCAAAGCCTTGAAGGTCTGTGACCATCAGTTGACCTGCAGAGTGACACCAAGAGAAGTGACAGAATGCTTCGGCCAGCTCTGCTTCTTGAGAAATGAAGCCATTGTTGCTGGTGTACTTCTGAAAGTCTCCATCAACAAACGGTTCCAATGTTGCATGTTTGGCGATGTTCCACTTTGGCAGCTCAACCGCCCATACATCCAAAAATTGCACGGGTGCTACACGAAAGCGCTGTGAAAACTCCTGGGCAAACACCTTGGCATAGGCTTGGGTCTGCACATCCGCCAATGTCATGGATGAGGTGCTATGGCTGCTGTCTTTGTGTACCTGGCAGTCAGAGTCAATATCTCGACACCACGGATATAAGAGGCACACCCGTTTGTTGATTTTGCCTGACTTACGCCAGGGCGCTTGCAGGGATCATCTTGCAAATTGTGTGATTCTATGATATTCTAAGTGCGGATTGATTTTCGGGCCCTCAGACTTGGGACATGTTCAGGAACTTGTGAGGATCTCGGCCTCTTGATCTGCATCTGTACTCTTGGTATGGTAGCAAAAAACTGACTGTTTTTTGCAGACCCCCAGTAAAAATGAACAGAGCCAACAAACTAAAAAAACAAAAAACATGCCAAGAACAGCGAAGTCTGGGTGTGTCTTTTGTCTGTAGGACCTTCCAAAGTGGCATGGGCTTCCCTTTGGCTTCCCTTTAAAAACCACCAAAAGGGGGGCCCCCACCAAGACGGGCACCCATTTGAGTGCATAGTGCTGCATGAATTTCATCGGATCCGGGCCTTGAAGACGAAGCGCACGGTTCCATCGGTGGCAGGAAACGCATACCTCATGCTCCCACTTGCAAAAGGCTCCCCTCGAATGTGGAAACTCTGGATCGCACGGCTGGGGTTGGTGTCGGAGGTCAATGCAAAGACATTCACGTTGGTCACCAGTACTCGTTGAACAGGCCAACTTCTCCAATCTTGCCAGGAGATAGCTGCCTTCGCATCGAGTGACAGAGTCGCTCCTGAAGATCCGGATGTTGCTCCAGACTTGTCTGACATAGGTTGGGTCAATGTCTTTGACAGCGTCTCCTTGGAGGTGGCAAGAATGCATTCACAAAGTCATCCGCAGTATTGTCCGGTCGAAGGAGCAGAGTCTGAAGCCTGGCTGACGCCGATGTGTTGCGGAGCTCAGAGAACACTTGGAACGTTTTCTCAAGCAAACGCCACTCTCCCCAGGGATACTCTAACAGCACAAAGTTCAGGCTCAATGCCAACGACTGTGCCATGAGCCTGTCTGTCTCTTCCCACTGCTGAACATCGTTGGGGTAGCTGTCAAATATTTTCCGGAGGTTGCGGGTGTTGAATTGGTACTGTGGCTTCGCAAAGCGTCTGCCATGTGGCGGAGCATCGGCAACAATGTAAATGATTCGGGTCCTTGACTGCCACTTCAACTGAAATGATTGGCTCAGAGCGCCAATCATGTTTTCGCAAACATCGGCGTCATCGGCGTGCGTTGCATGACAATATCCACCACTAGGCTTCAGCTTGGACAAGAACGACTGCACATCATTCACATCTTCCGTAAACGGCAACACTTCGAACTGGGAATTTATGCTCCCATAGTCTCTATAGCCCACGACAGAGAAGCGGACAGTGCCTCCAATGCCCAAGCAACCCACAATGCCACTCTGGATCTCACCAATCTTCTCCTTAGCCGCTTGGATCTGGCTAGTCATCGAGCCGGTGCAGTCCAAGACGAAGCAAGCATCCACCGACTTCATCACCACTGCTCTCTGGGAAGCTTCAGAGATCTCTGCCTTCAGCTTCTCCTCCTTCTTTCGAACCACCGCAGCGGTGGCTTTCACCACATCCTTCTGGCCGCTGAGACTCTGTCTCCTTTGAGTACGGCGGATGATCTCCTCCAGCTGCTCACGACTCAAATCACTTAGCTCCACTTGGTCACTCATGATCAACTGAAGCCAAGGGATGTCGCCTCTCAGGTTGGCACTCTCCACTAATTTGAGCAGAAAAGCAGTCGATCAACTCGTGATCAGCTCTAATGCGGGATTATTTTTGTCCTTGGTGACATGTGGCACGCAAAACTCTCCAGCTGCAACAAATGCACCTGCCTCACATATCCTGCACATTTCCCTAGGCATCATTGTCCATGTCCACAAACATCCAAATGCCCCAACAACATATCGAACAGTGCTACCAAAAAGCCTGCCCCAGCCCACCGCCTTCACGTGGAACGCACTTGTGGAGGCTGCAAGCATTCGCCTTGGTGCCGAGGTCGAGCACGAATGAGGCCAGCTGATCTTTCAAAACGGAAATTTGCTTGCCTTGTACAGAACGTGCTCAATTGTGTAGTGGGCGTTTGTGGATGTCCATATGGATTTAGATGCATGCTTATGAATCTTACTGGCCAAATCCTTACAAATAAATGTGTGCGCCAGAGGCTGCTCTGAACAACACATGCCCGCTGCTTGGCTCGATGTTTCTGACTCGGCCGATCAGAGCGTCAGAGTCAGAGTCAGTTCTTCAGCTCGGGTGGCACAACTTCCGGGTTTGCTGGCACGTTCCTTGGCAGAAGACCTTGACAGCTGGACATGTGTTCAAGGAGAGTTTCTTCAAACCTCAGCCAGTGTAGCATTCCATTGACACTGATTTAGACCCTTCCTCTGAACCTTAATCGATAAAAAATGACATAAACATGGGCATGGGGCAAAACTATTGTACCCAACAATTTCTGATTCAACAGATGTTAGGTCCAAGAAGTGGCCTACCATTGGCTGGTTGTTGCAGGGGGTTACCCGCAATGACTCCAACCAATTCGAAATACCCGACCAACACAGGTCATCGTCACAGATATCTCATACGGCTGTGGCTCAAAAAGCCGGTACCCAAAATGGAACCCTGGTTAGCGGAAACATGGACCAACACCTGCGTAACCCCTCCTGCTTAATTTTGAGCCACACCCCCATACGAACCAACATCGGTCGACCCATGGAGTAAACAAGTGATACTCATCCAAGATCACCCCAACATGCGAGACTCATCCAGAAACCAAACCTGCGGAATATCCTTAGACACGTGACACCATATGACCATCCCTGACCCCCAAGTCAGGTCCGTGACCCGCTGTTTGAGCCAATGGCGGGAGACTGTTTGGAGGCCCAAGGGCCATCGATCTTTTTGTGGGCTGATCGTCATGTGGTTGATCAAAAGGTCCGATAAACATGGGAGGACTCTTGGGGAAACCACGAAATCAACATAATATTTTCGAGGGGAACAGTTACACATGGTCATTTGATGGCCAGGAAGATTGATCAAGCCCCATTGGGCACTGAGTAAAAGGTCCGCGATATTTTAAAGCAAGCCACATTTATTTGTGAGGTCGCGACGTGTTTCCCATGCTTTACCATACTCCTCAAGCCCGAAATCAGGGATCCTGAGGCGAAGAGCCTGACTCATGAGCTCGTTTTACACCCAAACTGGCAGAACCATTTAGCTGTGGCTCAGAAAAGTGGTACCAAAAGGGCACCTTGGTAAATGGAACCAAAAGCTCAAACCCGCGGTTTGCCCCAGCTGTTTAATTTTGAGCCATACCCATCTCGCGCATAAATCCGGGCCCTCGAGGGAAGCTCTGAGCCCAAATCGGCTCGATGCGCGGAAACCGAAGGTTGAAGCTGAAACCGAAGTGTGCGGCGCTTGTTTGGGGGACGCCCCATGAAGCGGTTTTCCTGGTGGTTTCCCTTGAACACCAAAAAAAAAACGGGTTACCCTCAAAAACTGACGCACCGAACTGACTCCTCCCCCTACCAGGCAGAACTCTCAACCGAAAAATCCGCCCTGAGGGTCTTGGGATCCTGCTTGGCCTGGCGTGGAACTGCCCGGACCCCACTTCATTTTCTGGCGATCGGTGCGAGGGAATGAGAAATGGAATGACCCTGGGTCATTCCATGTCTCAGCCACCCTGCTGAGCAAGTTTTGGCGGCCCCACGAGCTGCTCAAGGGCTGTGTTTCATGTGGGAATGACTCGAAGGCCAGACGAGCTGCTTGGCTTTCAGTCAAAAATGGACACCAAAGGGTCCAAACTCCTTGACACATGGGGTTATCTACTTTTGTTCGGAACCCCCTTTGGTTGACTTAGAAATTTCAAAGCAAAACATCCAGCCATTTGGGATGGAACAACCAACATGGCCTCATGTTGACCCCCCCTTCGATCAACAAACATGCCCCTTCTGCCCATGTGCCCCGGGCTGGCGCGCAACCTTCTTCCCGGAACGCGAGATGGAATCGCCCTCAGAAACAAGCAGCAGGACATTTTTACCAGAAACAAGCTTGGTGAGCGTTTTGCACATTTACTGCAGAATTGCCTGTTGCTGGCTTCTATGCATTGTGCCAGGGCTTTGCCGGGCGTAACTACTGGGGATGAACCCCCCCACCAACTTGGGTCTTGTTCGGCCAACAAACCGGGGTCCCCGGTTCTCGACACAGATTCGCCCGCAGGGCACAGCGAACTCCGCAGCTTCAGCCATTCGCTCTCACGGCGCAAAATTCGGCGACCATCTCAGAGGTCGCTGCCTCCCGAGTTTGCGAAGTGGCAGGGCAGAAATGTGTTATTCGCAATATGTTACACACAGAGAGAGAGGCACGCACTACAGGTTTCCGCATTTTCTCACGTGAACATGATCTTACTCGGTAAGATCATGTTCACGTGAGAAAATCGAAGAGAAAAGCTGCAACGGCAGCTGAGCAAAACACCTGAAGGCGTGCACTTTCTTGCCCAGCGAAGGGAAGACGTCTTATGTTTGGACTGCAAGCGAGACCAAAGGTGGCAGTTTTTGAAGTGGCACCCTGCCAAAACAGCGGCAACCAACCACTTTATTTGACTCAGGAACCAACCCCCGATGTCATGCTGGGCAACATGGTATCGCATGCGTCGGAAATATGAGGCATGACTGCATGACCGCTTTTCGCGACCAAGCCGGTTCCCAACACGTTCCCAGTTCCCAGCAGGCTTCCAGCAGGTGAACTCGTAAATCAGATAACTTATTTCGTTAGCATGAGACTCTCTCTTTCCTGGTCGCGGATAGGGATTCATAAGGACCCCGCCTGAGAAATGAGAGGTGCCAAAATAGGGCTTACCGGATTTCCGCAACATACACGTCGGTCAATGTACAGTCCTGCAGATCAGATGGAACAATTTTTGAGAGCGGAATCTGCTTTGGGGCGAAACATGATAAGGCTCGCCACGCAGCTCAGCAGGTCTTTCGCATTTATTAATATGAACAGGAGCAACAGGGCAAAAAGTCCAAGTATGTAACCATCTAGAGCAACACAAGGGGTTTAAATAGTTATACACACATAGTAGTCACTCATGATCCTGACTTATAAAGTGGTTTATAAGTACCTCACCCCATTCTAAACAGAGGGTAAGGCCTTTTCCATTGTATGTTCGACTGAGGACTGAAAGCTTCGCCCACTTCAACGCTAAGGCTTCTTGACCTGGTTCCTTCCGTGGGTTTTTCAGGGGCGATCCTAATGCTGGAGGTCTCCAAATACACACGGGTGTCATTCGAAGGTGTGAGTGGATTGTGCCAATTCCAAGTGGATCCTGCGAAACTTTTTGGGGAAGTCGTGAGCAAGTTGTCCCAAAGAAACTTCTCCAAGCCCTTCAAAGCTCCAAGGCTACAGGCCTTTGATCTTGGAAATACTAAAGTACCGGACATCCAAGATTTAGAGTACTTGAGTAAGTACTGGAACAAACTAAGATACGTTTCCGGCCATATATGCTCAATTCACTGCTGGACATCTCAGATTCAGTATTGGCAATACAGAATTAAGTACCCAACATCTAAAACGTATTGGCAAAACTAATTTCAGTATTGGTAAGCCCGAGTCCCAACTACCCCGAGGGAAGCCCCCAAGGCTGTCAGCTCCGTACGAGACTCAGTGGGTGTGTTTGTGGTTTTTCAGGCAAACCAAAAGAGAAACCGAAGCCATTTTTGGGGGGCTCCCCGAAAAAAAGACCCACCCACCCATTCATCATTGTTTGTGGCATACGGCATGATCGCACCTCTGGTTTTTCCGGGTGTTTCCCCTCTGAACCCACTGAAACGTAAACTCCCCAAAGATTGCCACTCGAAAAGGACACGCGTTTCTTCCCTCACCGAGCCTTTGTCGTCTTCCTCCTGTCGCACTGGAGCCGATCGACTTCAAGGCTCAAAAGCCAAAAGCTGAGGATCTCAGTCCAAGGCCGCCTCTGAAGCCCACGGAAGTGTTTTGGTATTGGGAAACACGGTGAGTGCTTTGGCAAATGGGCGTGTTGGGTTCTCCTTTCAAACTATAAAGAATTGAGGTACACTCATATGCAGCATGGCAACTAAAAACCAAGCATTGCGTGGCTTTCCTGTTTTTTTGCCTCCAAACATCTCCGAAATCTCGCTAAGCTCCAAAAACGAATCCCATACGTGAATTGGCCATGGCTCGTCATCATTGAGCCACATCGCTGTGGAACATACACCCCAAATCGGCAATGCTAGTCGCTATATTGACAGTAACGCGGCGGCTTTCCAGTAAGCAGCTTTCCGGTAAGCAGTGAAAAAATGGCGCCCGAGAATTGGCAGGTAGTGATCGTCATGTTTCCACCAAAACATTTCACCATTTAACCCTTTAAAATGGCCGTGCAATGTTTGACGCAAGAAGGACACAGAAATGGACCCTTCTCTCAAGACGCGTGAGACCTTTCCTGTTCAATGTGCTTGAACATACTGCTTGAAATGCAACAAATCCAGCGTTATTTTGGCTCTAGTCACCACAGCAACCAAAACTGCATGGCAATAAAACACATCACGTTTCAGCTAGTATTTAGATTCCAGCCACTATCCCAGAAACGATGCCACATACATTTCCGAGAAATGCAAACCGGAATCCAACACAGTGACCCAACACAAACAAACAAAAAACACTGATTCCATCAATGTGACCCAACACACCAAACACAAACACAAACTGATTCCATCAAAGTGACTCAACAACAAAAACTGATTCCATCAAAGTGACCCAACACACACACACAAGCAACAAAAACACATGGAATAAACAAACAAACACACACACACACACCACACAAAAAGAAGAAGAAACAAAAACATGGACTTGACCCAGGTCGTGTCGAGTTCCGTCCTCGCCAGCCTCTTCCATGGCTATGAGGGCCTCCACAAATTCAGCCTGCCGCTGGCCCTCTAAAAGGCCAAGGAAACCGAGAGAAGAATGGCGATGGACGGATGGTCGCATCATTATGGATCAAAAGGGGGGGGTGGGGATTGACCAAGGGCGCCGGATGGTCCATTATTGGACTATGGCCCATTATTGTTGGACTATGGTTGGAAGGGGGAAGGGGGGGGGGGAAATTGACGGATTGACGGATTGAGCGCCTGAGGTGAGGCTGGGGCGAAAGGTGCCGAAAGGTGGAACTAGCAGCGTCACTGGACTTGATCAATGTACCGGTGGTGTCCATTGAAACTGCCTCTTTTGGAGGTTCCGAAAAAGTGAAATGGAGGAATCCTGTGAAAGAGAAAGACCAAAATAGACAACTGAGAGCCACAAGTTCACATCGATTTGGACATGGGGACACTCTTCCTTCCTCTCGTTGAAGCATAAAGCGTGGGCCTATACTTTACAGATGGAAGCTGGGAAAATTACGATCCCGAGGTATGCGCCCCTTGTAAGGTCTCCATAACTTGCCCGATCTGGGTACGGCGCTTGATATCTCACAAACGTGAAGATGGGCACTTGGCATCTATCCTGAGCTGGCGCTTCTACGCGCGCGCGGGAGGCGAGCTTCAAAAGGTTACATCTGAAGTCCACGCCGACCTTTCCACAGTGCTTATCTTGCTGGTGCTCAGCAGGGAATGTGGGAATGACCCCACGAATTCCCTTAAGGAAACCAGTTGGATGGTTTGTAGGAATCATGCCATTTCTCATTCCCTACTGAGCGCCAGCAAGTTATCGAATCGGCTGTTCAGCCGCCTTGTTGGGCACATTCGTGACAACGATATTCGAATCAGACCCACGGCACACCACAAGCATCACTGATGAGCACCCTAAGGTCCTCTGGCGCTTGCCTCGAACGGCGACAGCAGCAGCAGCAGCAGCAGCAGCAGCAGCAGCAGCAGCAGCAGCAGCAGTAGACCGCATTCGAGTGGCATCATTCCTCCATTACCCTCTCGGATAAGTTTGCATCAGCCAGCTTATCTCACGATAGGATATGCTTTCCTTCAAACCGCCCCGTGGCGGCACCACAAATGCCACACGTGTCCCACTGCCCGGAAGGCTCCATCAACCTTTAGGCCCTATGGGAAGAGGGTCCCTCCCCTTGAAATGAAAACGCTCGGATTGCGGAGTTTCTGGTCCAACACTGGGCTGGTCACTCCCGCTGGGGCAGCTTGGGACTTTCGTCAACAAGTGGATTAGTTACAGTTTACTGCTTGGAAGAAGAACAGGTCAAACACCTGTTTTTTCATGTATGATGTGGGCAGCCTCCAAATGGTTGAACCCCTCCTGAAAATGGGGTGGCTTCCCTTTGAATATGAAGGACAAAAAAAGAGGGAGGGCTCAAAGAAACACAAACCAACCGCTCAAAAACATGTGTTTCTGAGAACATTCACACAAGTTGGATGTTCAGCCAACTTAGTAAGTAGGTTATACCCGTGGTTATAGCTGGGGTAATTGGGGTTGGTTCCCTTATAGCCGCGGTTGCAATACTTACTAATGATCGTCTCACTTCCTGAGATTCGGCCTGAGTCCGCAGTTTTTCTTACCGCTGAGATGGTGTCCCCCTAAAGTCCAGAAACTGGGGAAGGGAGTAATACAAGGGGCCGAATCTTTAGACACCTTATTCTCTTCTCATCATGACTAAATATTGTTTTAATAAGCCAGAAACGAAATCTCCCCTAGACCCCTGGCTGTTGCCAAAAAAAACACTTTGTTTTTGGCAGTTGACAAACTTAACCGGCCTCCGCCCCCCCCCCTCCGCCCCAAATAAAAAAAGAAAGAAGACACCTCCAGGAAACAAAGAAAAAACGCAGCAGCACGGATCGGAGGTCTGTGCCGAAGGGCCCAGGATTCCCCCCCCCCCCGCCGGCTGATCGGCCTGGGTCAACTTGCCGTCCTTGTCATGGTCGAAGGCCTCCATGGCGATCTTGGCCTCGGATTTATTTTTTCTTCGACTTTCAAACTTCCGCGGGGATACGCAGGGAGCGGCTCCCGATATGGGGGGATTCCAACTTGTCGCCATTTCGCATATCAAACTTCGTCCGGGTGCATCAAGCGGGGGAATCCTCAACCGTATCCAACTGGTTCCTATCCCTAGTTGGTTTCCCTGATTGACTGCGGTGGTGGTCGCAGATGCCCAGTGGATTTACATGGGGACAAAAAGACTCGGCATCCGATTTTTCTGGTTGGTTGACTTTAAAGGGTAACCCTTCCCCCAAAAAAGGAAAACAGAAAAGGGCACCGCTGGGCAACTGGGTGGTGGTCAAAAAGGCGCGGCGTGGGGCGGATTAGTTGTCCCATCGAAGGCGGACATACTGTGGATGGGCGAAATCCTGCACCACCTAAGAAACCATGCGAAACCATTGTTGGATGGTATTTACAGGGGAATCATCATTCCAGGGTCAGGGTTTCTCAGGTGGTGCAGGATTTCGTCCATCCACAGTATGGCCGTGGTCAAAAATGCTTAACCCCAAAATGGCTTGCTTGCCCTTGCAAATGGAAACATGGAAGCCAAAAACCCCAAAACCCGGTCCAACTCCTGGCGTGATTTTGACCCATGTCCATATCACTTTCGATCTCGCAGTGGCAAGAAGATCCGTCAACCCCTGATGGACCAAGTCCGGTTTTATTGCCGAAATGATGTATAAACAAGTGGTACGAAGGCAGGAAAAAGGGGTTTGGGGGGTGCAGGGACACGCTTCAAAGTGTTCCCAACCACTTTTTTCCACAGTTTTCCGAAGCCCATCGTATTTTCCCCCGCAGGTGGCACCTTTTGCCCACCGACCACATGGCATCCGCCACGTCTTCACGACACGTGAAAGGGTGAGGTTTCAAGGGCAAAGCGACTTCGAAAGGACCAAGCAGAAAACACGTTTTGGCCGCACTAATCAGGGGTGGTTCCTTTTAGTCAAAAAAACATGTATCTTACTTACATGGGTACTTAAGAAGTGGTTGGTGCCTGGATATAACCCACTTAGGAGACTTATAACCATGGAAAGCGGGTTACAACCAGGCTTACTAACCACTTACCTGACGTACCCGATCGCCCCTTAAAGTAGGAGATCCCTCAAGGACTAGTAGCCTGGACCCAAGGACCGATCCGTGTTTTTTCTTTTTCGCCGAAATGACCCATTAAAAAGTGGTACAAATATAGGGGTAACTTCCCCATTCTTTCCAGGGATCCGAATCTTTCCAGAAAACCACCAAAAGGTCTGCAAAAATGGCCGGTTTTTGAAAAGAACGATGGTTGAAAAGAATGGGGAATCCACCCCTAGAACAAAGGCATAAACAAAAAATCCTTTGGGAGTCCGGGAGGGTCTCCCGGATGAACCCGAGGTTGACAATTGAGGTTTAGCCTGTCAAGTTATGGCTCTTTTGGAACAAAAGCTTTGACAGTTTCGTCAGCGTCGATTTAGCGGCATCCTCATTAGATGAAAGATGCTCCCTTGGAAGGGCCAAATGTTCAAAACGGTGTGCGTATTTGTGGACAATAGGGGAAACACATACACTTCTATCGAATTTACATGAGCATATATAGATACACATAATATTGTATATATATATGGTGGTTGATCTAAATTCCTTTGTCTCGAAACGGCCATTCTTCGCGAATATAAAAGTTACTTTCGCGAATCTTTCGCGGATTCATCGCCGTGCTCTTTTCATTTCTCGAGTCGGAGAATCGCAGCTTTTAAGTGCCAGCGTTGTAAGCGAAATGACGATTTCCCAACTCCAGCTGTAAAGTCGCAACTTTTCATCACAGGGATAGTACATGACATGCGCCGGCTGGAAAGTCGCAGCTTTTCGTTCGCCGTGCAGCTCCAGCTTGAAGTCGCAGATTTCCAGTACCAAGCTAGTATACTGACTAGATCGGCGCTCAGACTATACCTCCCCTTGCAATCGAAGCCTGCGCTTTCGCGCGGGCTTTCGCGGATCTTTCGCGGAACTTTCGCGAAAAATCACCCACGTTTCAGAGCGGAAAGCCACCGACTAACACCCACAGACACACATACACAGGCTTGGAGCACTAACCAGCCAAGCAGGGTATCAAACTGTAGCCTCACCAGGCTTAATTTGCGCAACATCAACAAAGTGTTTTAATCAGAATAGAAGGAAGGCTCAGCAGAAAAGATGAACGGTTCCACACATCATTGATTAACCAGATACAGTTACGCAAAACTTTCGCGAGAAAAAAAGTTACTTTCGCAACTCCATCGCGAATCTTTCGCGGAGCTACCTCAACCAACACCGATGGTCACCGAATACTAAACTCCTTACAAGGACCTTTAGAACGACTCCCATATATATATATATATATATGTGCCTTTCTGTCTGCAGAGGTATGTGATTAGTGCAAACTGTGCTTGTTGATACTTCCTAAAAACGGGATGGCTTCTGCGCCCTGCTATGACCATTTTCACTCAGAACATGCCGGTGGATTGCATCAATAGTCCACCATAAAGTGGCAATCGATTTCTTTTCGATGCAATGTCTGTGCCGGTTCAATCAACCTGTCAGATTATTGTGGAGGAGCTTCCCCCAATAGTGAAGGATTCCACTTTAAATGGGACCCATCTATTAATCGAGCGGCGGTTCATTTATCATAGCGGAGGTTTGTTTATCATGCTGGAAGACAAGCGTCCGAGCATCTACCCACTTTTGTTCGACTCGGCTACACAAATCAACTCAGCGACAAACCCTCAATAGCAAGCATTGATGCTGGATTCCTGCTGTATCCCTCCATGTGCTTAAGCCCCCGGGGAAACAATAAAACTATGTCCAGTAGTGAATTGTCGATCCCCTTTAGAAGCAGAAGTGCAATCAATAACAAAATTATTGCTACGCGAATGGAAGTATCTGGGGAAGAGAACAAGAAAGCGGGGGGTGCCCGAATCGCGACTCGCGCGATTCGCGAATCGCCTCTTCTTCCACCTCCTCCGCCGTCATGCCCGATTCCTCGGAAGGCGCATACGCCTGGAGATCAGCTCCGAAAGGGTGCCTTGGAGCCCGGTGGTTTGGTGGCCTTCCGAGAAAGTTCCCATGTACCCTCTACAAAAGCCAGGGGTGGGAAGCTGAAAGCTTTGCGTGGAATTCCCCCCCCCCCCGGCCCCAAAAAAAAACAACAACAGTAAGCCAGCGACAACAGCAAGTCTGTGACTGAGACGTGCCATGATTCAACTCATCTGTTGGCCCTCCTGAAATGGGCCCCTTCTCAAAATTGGGACCTCCGTCTGGATATAAAGGGCGCGGTCTCATATGGTCGCGGTCAGGCTTCTCGGGATTCCGGTGAGTGTCTCACGACACACACAAACCTTTACACCTGATCTCCAAAAAGACTCAATCAACTTCCATGGCACCAGCTGGTTGTTGTTACTCTCATTTGTTTTTGTTCCGCCAGAATATCCAGTAGTCCATTTGGGAAAACTCGAAAACCGAGTCCAGGCGCTTCCAGCCTTCATTTGTTCTCCATCCGTGGCTGTGGTTGCCTATTTCCATTGGAAGAAGCATGCAAACAAGCCTTCGCCCGGGACTTGCAGGATTCAGCCCGGCAAAACTCTTTGCTACTTCAGGTGAGTCACTTGCTCAACACCCGTTATTCAAAATGGTCGTACTCCCACAACCATGCTTCAACAATTAAGAAGGCGGAAATCCGCAACTATTTCTGGCTGGGACTGCCCCTTACTAACCTTTATCTACCCGGGTTTTGATTGTGGCTCATCTTCATATAATGCAAATGACTAGTAGTAATTTTGGAAAAGCATACACTTAAAGTCAATGATTCACAATAACATCTATATAATCTGGATAGTTATATTTTTCATCGTGCATCACATGTGCTGAACACACGTTGTGCAAACTGAAATCAAACCAGCGTTGACATCCACATGATGTCAAACTTCTCTCCACACAGGGAAAAACCCTTACACCTAGCGGTTCCCTTTCAACACGACCAAACAAAAAAAAAAGGACCTAACAAACACCAACGACAAACCTCCATCTGCTTCTTCGTCCCGTGAAATATATATATATATATATATGTCCAGTAGTGATAGATTCCCTTTAAAACCAACAGGGGAGAACATATTCTTAACCAAATGGAAGCAAAAGAACACAAGACAACAACCACATACAACTATTTAACCATCCCAAAAGGGGTGCTCCCCTACAAATGTGCGTTCAATCCGCACAAACGGGATTCCCCTAAGAATGGATTGTTTCGAGGGGTCCATGACAATCTCCAACAACAGAAATCCTAAACCCACCTGCAAAAGTGTTTCAAAATGGCGGGATCCGGTTTCCCGTGGCTTTCCCTTTGCACCATCGCCAAGAGAGCCATAAACGAACCCGCTTGGTACAAACATTGCGGACCCCCTTCCATAGATTATGTCCTCACTTCCCAAGTTGACTGGCCAAAAAAAGCTTGAGCTTCTTATTTACCACTAAAATGGTCCAAACCCAAAAAGTTTAAAGTCCACCAACTCAGGAAGTGAGTGTCTCTCATACAGAAACATGTCAATGGGGTCTATGGGAACCAAACCAACACAGACACGGTGCGACAAACGGTTACCCTTCCAAAGGCCCACTAACATGGAACCCACCCAAGGGCCCCTTTTAGAGGAAATGGTCCAAACCAGAGTTCCCGAGTCAGGATCCTTGTGGATTGTGTTTGGACGAAATATGGACCAACTCTGGTTGAAACCCCGAAAATTATACTGGCAGCTTCCCCATTCTTTGCAGGGATCCTTCTTTCTAGAAAACCACCAAAACCCCTGGGTTTTTGGAAAGGCTGGTTCTTGAAACAAACGATTGGATGAAACGAATGGAAAAGGAACCAATAATCAACCGAGAAAAATCGAGTTGGTTTTCCTTTTTTTCTCTTTCTCGAACTATGAACCAGCTCAGCTTGAAACCCTTAAACAAATGGGTCAGACCGATCCCGTCGATATTCCGGCTGCGACATGGAAAAGCCCATCGTCTCCGTTGCCTCAGCCTCGGTCTTGATCCACTCGTGGAGCTCGCTCGGGTCCACGAAGTTGTTCTTATCCAGATCCACGCCTAGAAACGACCCGCGATCCAGACCTCACTTTGGTCCCCCCCCCCCCCCGAGAACAAAAAAAAACAAACAACAAAAACAGACGCCCAGCGGATTTGGGGAGAAAAAAGGATCGGCGGCCGAGTTTTTTTAAACTAATTCACCCCCAGCTATAGAAGGCATATGTTTTATGGATTGCTTCAGCTTGAGCCACTGGTAAGATGGCAACATGTATCCTAAGCCTACCCCACGTCCAGAAACTTGGCTTCTCAGCTTGGACCCTGAGCAACTCAGATGCCCCGCGGATTTTGGGGAGAGAAAAGGACCGGCAGCGCCAATTTGCGAACGGTTGGTTGAGTTTGAAGGGGAACCCTTCCCCCCCAAAAAAGGACAAAAGGGCGGGATGGATCCACTGGAGAACAGAGGAAAACCAGTTGACTCACCTTTAAAAGCCATAGCCGCAACCGCACCACTCCCAAAGAGGTCAAAGGCCAGAGGTTGGCTTTGCGTCAGCTTCAACGAGCTTGTCCTGCCCAAAGGGAACGTTCAAATATCCAAATGCCCCCAATCAACCATTTGGATGTGTCTTGAAGGGAAAGACTTCCAAGAGTCAAGAAATCCCCCGCCCGTTCCATTTCAGTCTTCTTCTTCTTGGTTTCCCTTTAAACCAATCTGAAAAGTGGTACCCGCAGTCTCCACGACCCCTTAAAAATGGGTCAACGACCCCACCGTTTTTGGCAGTGACCCCGTTTAGGGTCAGAAGCAAAAAGACCTCAGGTCGCCTCGAAAACTCAGATGCCTCCGTGGATTTCCATAGGAAAAAAAAGAAGCGATTTGTTTGGTTGACTTTAAAGGGACACCCTCCCTAAAAAAAGGAAACACAACTCGTTCTGCTCCCCTGCTGAAAGTTTAACCTTTCGTGGTTTAATACGGAGGAGAAAGGGCGGAATCCACTGGGCAGCCTCGAAAAAAAGCGACAACACACCGAACGGTGCTCGGAGCCCCAAGTGTTGCGGTGCCGAGTCGCGGAGGAAGAGGGCCTCGGCCTCTTGCTTCCCCTCCTCGGAGTTCTCCTCCGGCGAGTGCTCGATGGCGACACCGAAAGGAAACCGCTCAAGGACGGGGTAGGCAAGGGGAAGGAAACCACGAACTCGGGGGGGGGGGGACTAGGGGGGGACTAGGGGGCTGGGGGAAGGAAACCACCCAGGAACTAGGGGGGGGGCAACATTATCCTCAAAAAACAACCAAAGATCAAACAACCACCAACAACACAAGAACATAAGACAACAACAAAATCTGGTTTGTTTTCTGCTCCCCTGTTAAAAGTTTAACTGTTTGTGGTTTAGTACGGAAAACCCATGAGTGGGCAAAAAGTGAAAGTCCTAACATCCCTTGGCAAAATGCACCAAAGAAAAGGAGACCGCCCAAGGATTAGGGAGGGGGGGGAGATCTAGCAAGAAGGAAGCCACCCAATAACTGGATCAATAGGGGCAGGAAACCACCTACCATCTGGTGCATCATTTTGTCCATACACAGTACTTCCATGTCTTGTGCAAGAGACTCGAAAGGTAGAAAACATCGGGACCGTGTCTTTTGGGGGCCAGAACCATTGTTCAAACGGGAAACCCGCCAAATAAGAAGGGATTCAGTGTGTGTCACTGAGCAACTGGGACTTAGATGGTTGACTTGGAGCTTACTTCAGGCGTCAGCCCTGGACACCAACTTGAAAGTGGTTCTCAGCATTTGGTAAACGTAGCCACTTTACATACTGGGGGGGAGCTGTGAGGGTTACTTAAATGCTCCAGGAAGACCCTTTTGGCGCCTCTCCAGTGAAGGTGAAGGAACCTACGCGGTTGAGTGGGAGGGTTCGAGAGAACTTTTTTAAGGTCCGATCTTGTCTCGTGTTTGAAGAGACAGGCTACTAGCATGGTGCTTTGCAAAGTCGCCCTTTTGGAACCAGCAAAAACGTTCCTAGGGAACCCCAAAGGCCCGAGTAAAACACCGATTTGTTGCCAGCGGAAAACCAAGGAAAACTGTTTTTCAGGGCAAACGGGCCAACAAATAGATGGGCCCGTTCATTTTTTAAGGGACCCCACCCCTTCACAAAAAAAAACAAAAAAACACGGAACACTTCAAGGGCAAACGTGCAAAAGCTGAGATCCGCTCACCCCCCCCCCCCATTCGGCGGGGTTAAAGGCGCGCCTGGGCCCATGCCAGGGCGAGGAAGGCTAGGACTGGGCGCGTAAAGGCCGACGCAACTTGAAACTCGTGGCCCTGTTTTGGTACCACCTTCATGTGACCAAGAACATGAAGGATTGGATAATTGGTACATGAAAAAGGGATTGGAGAAGGTGTGGCTTGGTGGCGTACACAGAAAATCAAAGCCACCAAGCAAAAAGGGATGAGAGAATCAAGCTCCGTATCGACCGCCGAAAGCTGAGGCCGCGACAAAAGAACCGCATAGCTGTGTAAGTCAACCCCCAACTGATCCCAAACTGCTGCGGGTTGGCTTCCTGTGCCGCAGGACCCGGGCATCTCCAAATGAGGCAAGCCGGAAATATCTGGCTTTTCGGGCTACTGATTCATGGACACTCCTCTAAGGCGGTCCCACTTTTGCGGCATTGCGTGGACACCCCATGCCAACTTGGCAAGAACAATGGGCTGACCTTTGATCTAAATCGGTGTGGCTTTTGGGGAGCCCATTGTCGTGTTTCCGTTGGAGCCAGCCAACAAGAGCCTAACAGGGTTCCCTCAACCAAAGAAAGACCCAAATCAATGAAATGTCCACGACCTAGACCTAGCAGGAAGGTTGTGATGTTAAGGTCAAACGGTTCTTGCCAAACCAAGTTGTTGTTTCATAGTCCTCACCATCTGCTAGCGTGAGGGCGGGATATCATGGTCCTTGCCAATTCATTCATACCGGCTCAAGTGCTTTAGGCGCGAATTAGACATATAGCTTTTGTCAAGTCATGACAACTTCCATGAAACAACAAGACACACACACACACAGAGTGAGGAGGATTCAGCGCGTGAAATTGAAGCGACTAGTGAATGGGGGTGGCAAGGCCCATTCACAGTCCTCGATTTGCTGTACAGCACCATCCATATGTTTCCGAAATTGAGAGGGCCCCTGTCTGCTTGTTCAACCAACAACATGCGGGCCTCCTACCATGGGTGTTGTGTTGATGGTATCCTTCTTTGGGTTGGTCTCAAGGGTTTGCAAGTGACATTGAGGGGACGCCTGCCAATTCATTCTGGGAGAAGGACAACATCCCGTGGTCACTGACTCGCGCTTGGGACTTTGTGCACCAAGAATCGAATCTTGTCACAAATACATGTTACAGGTTCATCAAACAACTTGAATGAACAATGCATTGTTTGAGCGCATCATCGCTCATGGTGATGAACAAGTAGTTTCGTATCTTACTTATCTCCCTTTGAACGTTCAGAAGCTCTACCTGCAACGAATACTAGCCCGCTGCCTGTTGTTGTGAAACCAGGGTTTATTCACACAACAACAAAAAAGCGAAGCCGGATATTCTCGATTGGTGTTATAACATATACAATATGCTAAGCTGAGTGGCTTATAAATCAATTGAGTACCGCGAGCAGGTTGCTTGGCACCTTAGAATGCGCCATTTACAAACACAATTTGTTCACCCGTTGTTTGCAACAGGTGACTGCAACAAACTTGGAACAGCCTAACGCCACATGCGCCTCAACGACGGCAAGCGATAAGTAACTCAAGCCATTCCACAATTGTTTCGCTGAACATCGGTTGATGCTCCCTTCGACCGAATTGCTGACAAGGAAGGGACGCCACGGTGCCCTTTGACTACATCCCATTTGATGTCCGGCAAATTTGACCGCCATTTGGTGTACTGGAGCATGGGCAACCCCCGACAAAAGCCATGCAGCCATGCGAACTCACTTTCCGGGAACGGGGAGGGCCAGGTCTTTGCCGGCTCATTTGTTTCGGCTCAATGCTCATGCTCCTGAGCGCAAAGGATGTTTGAAGCTTCCAAGCGTTGCCCGAAATTGCTGTGCACCTTCTATTTGGATCCATGAAGCTTGTCCTGAAAACCCATTCCCCCATTTGCTCATTTGTCACCCAAAAAAAAGTGGGCCCACATTTTCAGCAATGATAGATTCCCTTTTAACACCAACAGGGGAAAATACAACAGATTCTTAGCCAACTGGAAACTCGTTTCAAAGATGAATGGCATCCTCAGGAGTCTTTCGCATCTGATAGGGCACCTGATTCTGAGACTTTCAGCGTTGTAAAGTCAAAAGTAAATGAGTGACCTGCTTCCAACTTCCAAAATCCGGAGAAAAACTTACTTCCTGAGTGGATGGGCCAACGCAAAGGTCTCCGCTTTCTGTTTACCACTACAAGTGTCTTCCCAAAAAGTTTAAAGTCCAGGAACTCAGGAAGTGAGAAAGAACAAGAAGCAACAAAAAACAAGTGGTCCAAACAAGTGGTCTAGCCCGGGTATCGTGGTTAGTCTCGACCGTTCTGAAAACTGCATGGCTTGAATCACAATGCGTGGTGTGATCTGGGAAGTTGGGTCCTTCAGATTTTCATCAGGTGCCCCAGTGGGGCGCGCCCTTCTTCGGGAGCTCGGCAGACCTCCAAGCTGCTACCTGGCTCCTTCTGACCAACAAAAAGGGTTGGTCATTACCCAAAATGGGGTCAATGGACCATTTTCAAAGACTCAGAAGGAGACTCCAGGTACTTGTAAGAAGGCCATATTTGTTTCCAACAACGTCTTCTTAAAAGGACCAGCCTGGCTGAAACGGAGACAAAAGGAAACCCTTGGCATGCCTGGGAGGCACCTAAAAAAGGAGAAGCAAAGGTCTCGCCAAACCCAAACCCCCATGCGCCCAAAACACCCTTTTGAAGACAACAGGTCCTTCATCTCGTGTTCCTCGTCTTCATCAGCTTCATGATCTGCGCCCGCACGAATCTTCACCCGGACATGCAGCCCTTCCGAGCATCACAAGCAACATCCGCATCTTGGACCCAGCGAGTAACGTGAGCCATGGTCAAACTATGCTGTTGCAGTGAAGCACTGATAGTTGTCGCTCTGTTCATCTCTTGGTTTTGTGGTCAAAGGGGTTGGGGTCACGCAAACTGGGTTTCCGACGGTCATGGAGGTAGTCCACAACCCCAAACATACCATAGACCAAACAGGACAAAGGACATGTTCTCAGAACATGCGCCAGAAACTATCTTGGCGCACTGCATGGAAGCGACCCCAAGAACGAGGGACAAGAACCGGACCTCTACCTGGAGTCTCCATGAGCCTTTAAACATGGATCAATGGCAATGACCCCATTATTTGGGGGTAACGACCCCCAGGGTCAGAAGGAGACTCCAGGTATGTGTATTTCGGGCATGCAAGATTTTCGGCAGTTGCCGTTACCCACATGGACACCATCGATGCTACCTGAAGCCCGTCAATTCTCCGGGGCAACTCGTCTTTGACAGGTAAGCAATAAACAAGCAAGCGCGCCGGACAAGCAAAGCTCGCGAGCAATCCGGCAGGCAAGCAGTCAACAAACCAATCAACACACAAACTACACCAAACCCTTAGTGATTAGTAAGCCTGGTGAGATCACGCACTGAAGGCAGAGCATAACCCATGGCTTTTGGTGGATGATCTCATCATGGCTTATTGCACTTACCTCACGTACCGAATCCATCGCGCCCCGTGGCACGCCGTTTTCGTGCGGGACACGAATGCCGGGGCCCCTGGCCATCTTGCTCCTGTGCGGTTCGAGCCATCGAATGCCGGGGGATCCGGGGGGGGGGGGGGATTTTGGTACTTAGAACCCGCACAAACCATGGCGAAGTGGTGGTAAGTCTGGTGATATCCAGCAAAAGCCATGGTTCTAAGGGTACTTAGTAAGTGGGTAATGCTTAGTAAGTGGGTAAGAATCATGGTGAGACAACCCAAAAAACAATGGCTTTCTCGGTCTCCGTTCAGTTGGATACCACAACTTACTAACCCGATCGCCCCTTTAAGTAATGAAATGAACATGGAGGCTCACACATGTAGGGCTTGATCAAAAGGTCCTCTACATGGGATGACCATTGGGAAAACCAATACAAATATATATGTCCTGTGGGTGTGGCTCACGAATAGCTCGGGTAACGTAGGTTCGAGCTTGCTCCGCCAGTTTTGAGCCACACACATGTATTGAGTTATTCTCCTGGGATTGCTCTTACCCACGGAGAGTAGGGATCCACCCGAAAAGTGCTTTTCCTTTGGTTGCCTCTTTCAGCCAACCACAAAAGGATACCCTGCAAAAAGACACGCCCCAGCTTCAACAGGGTATGACTCGGGTATGACTTTTTAGGGGTTGAACCATTTTTGGCGGAATATTTTAGGTGGGGAATCATGTCCACGTGTTCCAGCAGTTAAAAAGCAAGGCAAATGAGTCCAGAGCATGTGCATGCTTCGGAGCAAATTCTGACTCTTCAAACCTTCGAGCCCTGAATCCATGACTCACTCAGCCAAGGAAGCATAGGCGTCCTTGGAAAAATAGACGGCCCTGGATGAGAAACAAACACCTGGCAAATACCAGGGCCATGGATTTTTCTGGCACCAAAAAGGGCACCTCCGGCCATGGGAGAGCTCTGGCCATAGGTGCCAGTGGGGTCGATCAGACGCCAAATAGACACCATGATCCTCGCAATCGGAAAACCCTTTCTTTTTTGAACCCGTTCAAGGGGTGGTCTGGTAAAAACCTACGGCAAGATGTCAAAAGGTCGGCTTTGGACAAACATATCATGCCGTCACCTCCCCCTAAACCACCAGGCAAGACTGACCTAAGTCACAATGAAGACCTAGTATAAAGGGATCTACCCAAAACCGATGGCAAGGAACCGAAAGAGCAGATCTTCGCAGCCGTGTATGCCTGGGGCTGTTTGCCATTGCCAGCTGCTCAGCTGGTGGCCAAAATGTGCACTCTTTCCGGCAAATCCGTCGTGGACATTACCACGGTCCTCAGTTGTAGGGATGGCATCTCCATCGCATTGGGCCACACAGTGGGCGGTGCTTGACGGAGCAAGCTGATGCATCCCATGGGATGGGAAAATACTATGCGAGGAGCTAGCCTAGGTCCTCCAGTAGAGAGGTTAGAATAAGGGTACCCTTTTTTTCTGTAGTCCATTTTAGTAGGGGAACCCTCCCCCAAAAAAGGGTAAAAGGCACTACTGGGGGACCTAGCGTTATGTTTGAGGTGTTTCTGGACGACAGATCTCTAGGGATTTCTGTGTGGACTCTGCAAAGGGCGGCCAACTCAGCCTGAGATGTTCTGCCCGAGTTCACCTCGAGCTTTTGGCCTGGAAGCTGAATGCCTGGCCTCACCTTCAGGATGGGCCCCGGGCTTTTGTCGGGTTCGACGGGGATGGGCTACCGTGGCAGGTCATGCGCTTTTTTTAAAGGCGGCCGCTTTCGGTCTCAATGTTTCGCTTGGTCTGGTTTAACTCGTTTCCCATGGAAATTCACGACACTGACCCGTAAGTAAGTCGCTGAAGCAAAAGGTTTGGTCTTTCTCGCTCCAAACTCGCGGACCTTCACACCGACCAAAGGACCGAGAAGATTCCTTGAGCTTGGTTTGCTCACCGGTCCCGGTCTCCTCCTTCTCATCCTCCATGGCAAGAATGGCCTCCACGAACTCTTCCTGCGAAATGCGCCACTCTTTCTCATTCCCTTTTATGGTCAACAAATGTTGCAACAGAAGGAAGCAAGGGCGCATTTGTGCGCAAGCCCAGGTCAAGGGCATGTTGTAGTGCACATACTTTGGAACCATGGGGAAATGTACAAAGAAGAAGTCGCGATTGGTTGACTTAGAATAGACATCCGGCCTTTAGACGGGGTACCAGTGCGCAAATGGCGAGCAAGAAATAAAATCCTCAACCACAGAGGCTCAAGTGTAGGTGGACTTTTTACGTGGATCCACCCTTAAAAACAAGCATACGGGGGCCACACGGGCCTGCCACGAAGACGCACTTCTTCCCTCCCTCCCGGTGCTTCTCGAGTTGGGACCCGGCCATTCAGCGAAACATTTTTTTCAGCTCGGACGTGAAGCCGAGCGACGAGGGAAACGAGCGTTTGTGGGGGGTCCCCATTTGTCACGAACCCCCGAAGGATACACCCGTTATGGGTGCCTGGACTGCGTCTTCTTTTTTAGACGGCCTTCTTGGGTGTTCGAGTCGCCAATAAGTTGTGATCTTAACCAAAGCTCTTATCTGCTCGTCAGTCCCAATAAGTAAGGATCACCTTGTCAGGGGGAGAAAAAACCCTAGGCCAAGCACGTACGCACCTGGCGTACGTGCACCCAAGTAGGCGTACTTGGGTGTTTTCTATGCAGCCGGCCGTCCATTGCATTGAGGGACACCCAGCCGTTCTTTCCGCCATCCGGCCGTCCATTGGGAAGGCGGCGGCTCTTCACAAAGGGAAACATGGGAAGTGCAACTGGCTGGTCAAAACTAGGTACCCCCAATGGCTTGCCCTGGTAAATGGACACATGGACCCAAACCTGCGGTCCAATTCCTGGTGGTTCTTTTTCTTGACCACCCAAATGACCATGGGCAACTTTTCCCATTGGGACTTCCTGGAATTACCTTCCATGTCTGAGTCCCAGGGAAAACGGATCTGGTTTATTGAAAGAACCATGGACATGGGGATCATGAACTCTTTTTCTCACTGGCTGAGTGGATGGCCCAAAAAAAAGTCCAAACTTTACATTTACCACTAAAATGGTCTTCCCAAAAAGTTTAAAGTTCATGAACTCAGGAAGTGAGTTTTTTTCGTCTCCCGCCCCCCCCCCCCCCCCAACGTCTGCTTCTTTTTGCAGGGGGCTCCCCCAACAAAGGGAAAAATGGGAAGTGCAAATTGGAGATCGTGAGATATGGTTGTCTTCTCCTCCCCCAACTCCAGCTTTTGGCCCCCTGGTGGTTCAATTTTGACCCATACCCAAATGGAGATCCTGAGATGTGTCTTCTCCTCCCCCAACTCCAGTCTTTTTGCAGGGGCCGGTGGGTGAGGACTAACTCCTCTTTTTTTTGGCAGGGGCGGTGAGGATATGACTCTGTCGGCTCCTTGCTCAGCTTCTGATCCTTGTTGTGGTCGAAGGTGGTCAGGGCCGTGTGGGCCTCCAAAAAAACAAATTCAGACGAGCGGTTTGCGGGGAGAAAAAACGGGATGGACAAAACAAAGAACTACTCAGTTGTTCAGTGACCCTGGAAAAAACGGGAAGCCGTCTTCCTCCTACGTTGCCACAGTCCAGTTTGCTAAGGGGCGTTTCATGGCAACGTGAGGAGGATGACAGCAAACTCTCCTTGTTCTCAATGTCATACTGAGCTGTTGAAACACGCTTTTTCGTGTTGAACGTTGGGAGGGTCTGCAGCAACCTCACCCAGAAGGAAAAAACACAGAGAAAGCTGGGTGTCCTTAGAGGAACCAAGTGCTTCAGGCACCTGGCTCCCTGCTCTCTTTCATTTGGTTCCCTGCTCTCTCTTTCGCGCCAAACTAATGTCCCTTTGGACACCTATGGGTCCTGAGAAGCCACAAAACACAGTTCGCCAACCTGCGAGCGTTCCCACCATGGGTTTGTTGGTTAACCCTTTGTGTGGAACCATGCTGGTGGATTTTGCTTGGACCCTTTGCGACCAAAAATCGAGCCCGCCTCCTCATCTACTTCCTCGGACGCCATCCCTGTGTCCTCACCAGAGCCAGACAGTGTGAGGAAAAACCAAAGACGCGGCAAGGCATTGTCAACCTTGCGGGGTGTCTGCCTCCCCTGTTTTCCCCAGTAGGACACTAAAAAAACATCTTATTTGGAGGCTTGGAGGAAACCAGGAGGGGGTTCAGGAGAAGGGGGTTCTGGAAACCTCTCACGTCTTGAAAGAGAAACTCAAAGGAAACTAACCACCTGGCCAGGTTTGTAAATCTGGGAACCACCCAAATAGAGGGAAGCAAAAAAACATCTGAGCATATTCCCAGCGCCTTTAGACAAAAACATGGGAACATGGAAGTCCTGGGCTGTTGAGCACCCAGCCCCGTCGCCCAGCTGGCAACTAAAGGACTCTTACAGGGGCGCGCAAGTGTGGGGGTGGGGGCGGGGGGAGGGCTTGGAGCCTGGCAAGGCCAATATACCTGACATAATACACACTTGTTACTGCTATGATGTTTGCGTATTACGTATATTGTTGTACTAGTTTGTCTAATAGATATATATATATATATATGTTGGTATGCTATATCAAATGATAACACGATATACTATGCTAGAGAGTAAATAATCTAGTATAGTTGAATGTGTGATTTGTTGTGTCATTTTCTATGTTGCTATATTATGCTATACTAGTTTGTACTGCATGCATTGCATTGCATTGCATTGCTTTGCAATTACAATTCAATATGGTATTTTATATCATATTATGCCACATTCTATGGCACTATATTTATGTATGGGCTTTTTGCAAGGGCACAATGTTTTAGGTTGGTTCAAAGGGCTGCCAAAAAGAAAGCGGCCTTGTTTTTGGTCCCGCCATCCTGACACACACACACACACACACAAACACACACACACACACATAGGATATAATCCCCATTGTGCTCTGGCTATAGCTCCCTTTTGAGCCACACTTGAGGTGTCATGGTCAAACTCCTTTGGGTCACAGTGGTTCCCTTCGTTTGCTAAGCCGGGAGCTAAGAGATCCATGGGGTGGGGGTGTCCTTTTCGAGGCATCCCCTACAAGGTGAAACCAAATGGAGCCCCCGCGCGCATGAGCACAGACACGACCTGTGTCCGACGCCACTCAAGTGAGAAATCCTTGCCAGTCATGGCCTCAGTCGAAATTGAGCCGGAAGAACTTGCAATGGTGAGTTGTGGCCCCTTCTTCAACGACTGCAGTTGCAGTACTCGCCCGTCTTCGCCTCTTAGCTGACTCCTTATGGACCATGGCCCCAGCTGTTCCTCTTCAGTCCAGGCAGTCGTCGCCCTCGTTCCTTCTTCAGGTGGCTACAGAATGCTCGCGGTGGATGATGATCAGAATCGGCGCCCACCAAGAACCAAGGGACTTGGAACTCAGTAAGCGGAGACAAAACCTGAGTCACAATCAAAACCCGGTACCAAAATGGTCGATCCCCAGAACCATGTAAGGAATTAAGAAGGCGGCCGCAGCTATTTATGGTTGGGATCGTCCCTTACCCACCATCATCTACCCGGGATTTGATTGTGGCTCACCTGATTCGGGCAACTGGAAGAAACCTTCCAACTCATCACGCAGAATGGGGCCGTGCCGAAGGGCTTTTGACAAACTGTCTCCGAAATTCTGGCAAAGTGACAAATGTGCTTGGCCGTCAAAGTAGCTTTGCCCCACCCCAAAGTTCAAAGCTTTGGATAAGGGAGACTAGCTCAACCGAATGCTTCCAAAACGCAAACAAAAACTGGATGCGGGTTCCTTTTGGTGCCCGGCCCTTTGAACACGACCTACAAGAGTGAGATCCATCTTCTTCTCTTGGTTGATGTTGACCACAAAAAGCTGAACAGTCTGTGGGTCCAATGAAACATCCGCTGTTTCCAAACAATTAAAGCCTGACTGTTGGTTCTACCAGGATGGTGATAAAGGTTTATATTGCAGGGCTATAACCACCAGGTAGCAGAACCACTAACATTGCCCTTTTGGGTTTTGTCCCCTGGTTGTCCAGGGCCCGTCAAGGAGGGCATTCCCCAAAAAAGAATCCCTCCCTTTGCCCCCAATAGGCCCTATTAGCCACTATTAACCCCCTATTGGGATTTGGGGGGGGGCCCTATTGGGGCCCTTGATAGTCATACTGCTGGACGAAATCCTGCACCAGGATCCAATCATTCCAGGGGTTTCCCCTGGTTTCACCCACTTTTTTTTACAGAAGATGCCCAACGAATTTCCATAGAATTTGCTGCTCAAATGGAACACCTGTGCGCTCGGAATAACCCCCCCGCCTCCGACTGGATCCAGGCCACCATCTCGTCCTTGTCCAAAAATCCGTTGTTGTCCGTGTCTGCTCCTTAGCACATCCCGTTCTTTACCTCCTCTTGATTTAGTCATCCTGGAAAAAAGACAAACATCATCCAGAAGTGATAGAATTGCTCTGTTGCTTTAGTCCCCTGGGGAAAAAAAGAGCAAAAAACTAAACAACTTCCAGGAGTGAGAGATTTGGATTTGACAGGGGAGTACTAAACAGATTCTGAAAGGACATGGGCGAAGTGTCCCTTTTTCCTGGGCCCTGATTCTTTCATGTTCTCCAACCTCCCCCCCCATCCCTTCATCCCTTCATCCCCCGAACACCAGCTTTCCTCCTGAGGTGCCCTTCTTTTTTCGACCTGAGCCTTCTGGGGTCAGGAACAGGGGAAAGGTCCTCGGGATCGCCAGCTTCTTGGCCAGCAAACCAAGCGGGAAACCGCCGAAGGCCCCAGATGTCCGGGACTTCTGCAGGTTGGAACTTGGATTCGTGGTTATAGTTGGGCCCTGGGGAAATGTGTGTTTTTGTTTCTCGCCGTATTATACATGTATATCAATATATATATATATATCATATGTATATATATATATATAAATATATTGTTTGCCCTGCACTCTGAGCTTCCCTCTTGGTCCAGGCAGGGCCGTTTGCCAAAGCCTTTTTGGTTGACAAGCTTTGCGTGCCTCAAGAAAATCATTACCACTCTTAGCAAGACATTGTTCGCTAGGGAAGTCTTACAAAGGCGAGTTTACTGGGGACAACTTCCTGCACTCAAGCCAGCGCGCGGGCTAAATGTCAGCTACACCGGTCAACAGGTGTAGAACACCAGGTATTGGGGGACTAGAATATTGCACCGTGGAATCTATGAAGATTGGAGTCAGACACATCGACTCGGTCATTATCTTGGCACCTCAAGGGGATTCCCAAAGACTGCTTCAGCAGCAATGACTGTCTGGAATCGACAGTAGGGCCCCCTGGCAGCCCTGTTTTTTTCTTTTTCGGCGGCGGCTTTGGCACCGAAACAAAGTCCAAGGAACCGGCAATATGCTTGACAACCCCCCAAGTGAGTGAGTAACTTTCTCGTGATATTGTGTTAGTAGACTTGATTCCCAGCAAATCCGCTCAAATTTGATCCCTAATGAGAACTACTTTTAATGTGAAGTGGTGTGAAGTAGTTCTTTTCTGGGCTGCTCTCTTTTTACCCCTGAGCAAAAGGTCGATCACCTGTTGTAGGTTGGGAGTAGTCATTTGTTAAGGTCCTGGCGCCTTTCTCACACAGACTGAATCGCCACGCTCCTCGGTATGTCAACCACTCGGGAAACACCCTGAACACGACGGTCTAACACCAATTGAAACCCCCCAAAATGTGGGTCAAAGACCACTTGGATGTTGGGCCAAGTTATTAGCAAGTGACTAGCCACCTGTGTTACAAACTACTAATAACCAGGTTAACTCCACGGAACGGGGTATTCAAAACCTCTAGCTTTCTACTTGGTGGAACATCCAAGCCATCGGGTCACTTGCAGTCCGAAGCTCGTGCGAACATGGCTGCGGCCTCTTCCTCACCCTCCAGGTGCTCCTGCGATGGGCGGGGGGGGGGGGGGGGCGGGGGGACAACCAGCGAATCTAACTTCAAGGGCTAAATTAAATTGAGTCATGTGGGGTGCAAACAGCATATCGTCATGGGAGTAAACTACTATAGTATTTTTTAGGCCCTTGTACTACCCGTCACGCGGCCCGATTCTATCGTGCACGTGCTCCAGCTTGCGCCAAACATATGGGGGTTGTGTGGTCTGCATCCGAAAGGAACCCAGCTGTTGGAACCAATCTAATGTGGCTATGACAAGCTTATCAGGCTGCTCAAAGCTACCCACATGGTCTTGCTATGATCATGGCCTAGTTTGCACCTTTCCAAACAAAAACATGGAACCCGACTGGGAACTGGCGGGGGGGGATGGTTGGGAGACAATTTCCATGTAATAGGAACCCTCGGGTGGATTCCATGTGGACGAAAGGGTTTTCGCAACGGAGGAACAGGACACAAAAAATGGAGAGCTAATTGGAAAAGGCAGCCTCAATTAAAAGCTTCCCATTTTTCAGGGCCCACCTTCAAAGAGGAACTGCGCCTCCACACTGAGGAAATCGGCACAGGATTTTGAGTGGCTTGGGATGCTGTCCTCGGCACTGGGTAGAAATAGTGAACCGCTAAGCGGCATTGGGGCTTATCTCCAGGCTTGGCAAAAATTGTTGAATGGGTGTGTGTGTGTGTCTCAAAATAGGAACCCCAAATTTTGTTTGGACTCCCATTTAGACCATGCAAAAAGGGAACTGGGCCTCAAATACATATGCAGCAATCGCACAGCCCCCGACTTCACGGGCCTTGCATTTTAAATAAACAACTCTTCACTGAACATCACTTCGGTGGGGCTTCACGTCCACCCATTGAATTCACAGGCATATGCGTGTGCCTGTTGCGCTCCTTTTTGGGGGTCGTTTCAAAGAGACATCAAAATGATACCCCCCTCCCAATCTTGCATGTTCTTCATGTTCAAGCCCATTCGCATATGACAATGTACGGTGTCCTCCAATGTTCTCCCATGTGCAAGTTCATTCGCATATCGGTTTTTTGGAAACCCCATGGTTTCCTCTTGGCCTTCCGCTTGACGCCCACCCCCCCAAACCCAGGGCCGGAGACGGGGCGAGCATCAAAAACTGGCCCTGCCGCCTGCCTCCGCCCACGCCAGGCTCAGCAGCAGCAGGACTCGGGCGAACGAGAAAGGTCATGGAATGAAGAACATATCCTGAACCCAAAGGGACCCTGAGGAAAACCTGAGCACCTGAACCTAATGGAACCCTGAACCTCGATCCGAAGGGCCCTTTTGGTTTTTTCGGTTCTCGGATATCTGGCACCACCCCACAAGGTGGTTTCCTATTGGGAAGATGTTCATATCATTGGCAATGTTGCCACCGAGAGTCACTTCCGTTTTTGGTGGGGTACCTGAGATTTTCACCTCAGGGTTGCCTTCCAGATAGCTGAAAGTTAGTTGATCTGACTCGATCTGACGGTTCAGGCGCTGGGTAGGGGACCTCCTATTTTAAGCAAACCGCTCCAAAAGTTGTCTGAACCCCCACCGAAAGTTGGGGCTCCAGATCAAAATCGACTAGGAGTTCCGCTTCCGGGGTTCAAAAGACGCACCGGAGTGCAAAGTTCACATTCCTTGGCAACCAGCTTGGATGTCTCTGTCTTCTTGCTGCTTTCCGAATCTGTTTGTGTTCTGTTTGGGAAACCAACGGGAAAACCAGCATTCTGTGGGGCCCCCTTCAACCAAAGACAAGCCCGATTCCCTTCATAAATCCGAGTCCGAGCGGCGAAGGACCCGCATCTCCCAAAGTTTTCAACGGGCTGCGATACCTTGTTGAGCGAGAGCTTGACGGCTGCGCCAGGAGAGCAAGAGGCTAGCTGGGACTTTCCCGCAAAATCAAAACCGATGGAACCCGAGTCTGTCTTGAGACCACTGAGAATGGCAACCAACCAGAAAGACGGACATCTTCTTGTTTCAGGCACCGAGGTTGGCTTGTTCCAAACAATGAGATCAACCCAACTGCCCGGTGAAACAAGCGCACGTGCAAGTCCTTGGCCCCCCCATTCTTGGGCAACGACTTTGGCGGAGCGACTGGCCGTTTCACAAGGCCCACGGCAGAATCCATGAGTTAGCAACAGCTGGATCCCAGCCCTACGCATCGTAGGTACCCTTCGCTATTTTCCTTTTGGCTTGTATATGGGGTGGCAAGCCCTTGGTTGCCTATACAGGGGAAGCGCTGGGGCTTGCTATACTCCCCAACGTGCAGACCGCTCTAAAGCCCAGTCACCCAGTGACCCTAATAGAACAGCGACATCTTGTTGCTTTGACGATTTTGTAGCGGGCGCCCAATCCTGAAATTTAGACAACTGAAAAACAGGATCGGTAAAATGGCTCGGATTTAGGGTTTTGCGCTTTGGCGCGTTCGGCAAAATGGCTCGCTCACCGGGATTTAGGACCTAGGGCTCATGCGCTTTCGGTGCTTCTCCGCTCGCTTTTATTTGCCGCGTGAAACGGGGCAAGTTCAGGGTGAAACGCCAGGCATGTGGGCCACGGTTCTTCTCATGGGATGGGTCTCATTGATGGCCCTGCTTTGGTTCTAGCTGGCCAGGTTCGTGCTTCCCGAAAGGAACATTGGGACATGTGGGTTGTCCTCCCGAAACCAATTCGGGACTCTTGGCTGGAATTAGGACCCCAGCAAAAATATATTGTCTTTTTTTGCCTGGTTAGTGGAAAACAAAGGCAACCCAACAAAGCAAACAATCCAAAAGGGGAACTAATTCTGGGGAAGGACTAACACAAATGTTGAGTTGCTCACGCGGGTCTTCATTCCAATCCATTTTGACCCAAGGGTAGAAGATGCACTCAAGCGAGATCAATTAAATCCCATTCACTCCGAAGGCTTGGCGAATTGACCGTGGCACATGTGAGACTGGACTTGCAGTGAGACCTGGGCGTGAAGGAAACTGAGGTACTCTTGACTGCAGATTTCGGATGATCCTACTGAAACAAAAACCACCTCCATTTCGACCTCGGAATGCTAGACAATTTGATTGATAGGCGACCCTTTGGGGATTGACAATTGGGTGGGAATTTTAAGGGGACCCTTCGGCGGACTTCGAAATTCGGGGATTCGTGCCCACCACTTCGGAGGTGGTTCCGACTCTTGAAACTCAGAGCCAACGAGCTACGAGGAAACCAACAGGGGTCACTGGATTCCGCTTCTCAGCTTCAATTCAGAAACGATCGCCGATTTCGGTTTCTGAAAGGGACTGACCAAAGGAATATGTTATCTCGGTTGCTTTCTGCTCCCCGGCTAAAAGTGAATAACTTTTAGTGGTTTAGTACGGAAAACCAATTCATTAGTTGGCAAAAAGTCTTCAAGTCCTAACAGCCCTTGGCAAAATGCAAACCAAAGTGTTTCTTATTCCCAGCCAACTGATGGTTTGGAGCCGCTCAACCGGGCTTCCGATTTTTTCGGCTTTCCACAAAAGCCAGGGGTTCAAATTCAAATCCAAACCACAACAGGCATAAACACATGGGACCGGGTCCCAACGTGCTGGGCTTTCTTTTTTCCTTTTGGTTTCCTTTCAAAGGCAACCTGAAAGAGAGTACCCTCGAAAATACCCACATCCGGGTGCTTGTTGGAAGACAGAAAGTGACATGCCAGTGACAAGACACGCACTCGCGGTTCACCGCTCCAGGTCTCAGAGCCGCATGCATCAGAGGTACGGATTCTGCTGAGTGGTAATCTGGCGAGCGAACATCGCCCTCCCAAACCCCGAAAGTGTGGAATTCCGGGAGTTCTGGTACGTCAGGTAAGCGGTTTGTAAGCCTGGTGAGACAACCCCATTGCGAGAAGTCTCCGTTTTGCTTAATGGGGGTGGGGTCCAGGTGATAAGGTTGGGGGCTTGGGTTCTCCTGAAAAAGACCGTGGCCCTTTCCCTTGCAAAGTTGCGGGGCGTTCAATTTGGAGCACAACTAGTTTAACATCGCTGGGTGAATTACGCCTTTGGTTCCCCACTTGCCAAATAGAAGCAACCCCAAAGTAGGCAGACCCCAGCCACGGGAACAACACTTTCATTTGTTTTTTGGGCGACTTGATTTTTCAGGGAAGGCCCTAAAAGGGAAAGGGGGCACTGCAACCCCACATCACTCCAAAGGAAAGTCATTGAAACCCCTGATGTCTAAACTAGCAGGACATATTCTTGGGGGTGCGGCCAAGTTTGTAAGTGATTAGCCACCTGTGTTGTAACCCACTCATAACGAGGTGAACACCACTGAACAGGGGAATTAGATTCAGGTTACAACCTGGGTGACCAACAACTCACTAACTTGGTCAGTCATTAGAACACCCAAGTGGAGACCCCTGGCCCAGTGGGATCCTTCCATTGGGACCGTGGTAAAAGTTGGATCAAAAAGGGTACCCAAACCGCAGGACCCCTTTTTTCAGGGGCCTTTTTCACCCAGGCCAAAATTTGTGGAAGGGGCGGGGGCCCGGTCATTTTGTCCAAGCTATGATAACCGTTCTGGCTTTGCTATGATAACTGGCGGCGCCGATTCATTCTTTCCAGGAAGTCGACCAGAAAACCGGATACCAAACCCGGTCAAAAAAATCAGCTGGCTGGTGAAAGGATATGAAAGGAACCATAGGTTGAACCGAATCGAAAAGGAATCAAATCCCTTCGCTTGGACCAGTCCAGTGCCTTTTTTTGGGCGGCCTGACTGCTGACTGCGGGTGCCACCTCCCCCTGCCTTGTCGCTGAGATGGTACCAATAGGTGTTCAGCCTCGGAGTTCGTCGTACTGGGTATGAGTCTTCTGTTTTGACTAGGTCCCCCAGTAGAGGTTGGTTAGAGCAAGTTGGTACCCTATTTTTTTCTATAGTCGATTGTTTAGTAGGGGAATCCTCCAAAAAAAGGGGTAACAGGGCACTGGGGGACCTAGTTGAGGAGTGTTGGCTCACTTGCCCAGTTTGGACCCAGTAATAAGAGGTCATTTTTTTGGGGCCATGAAAAACGGGCCAAAACAGGGAACTAAACGGTCAACGTCGATTTGCTTTGGGCAAGCGAGTTGGGGAATGTCCCCAAAAACCTTTTCTGAACAGGCTCAAGTTAAATGAGATGGGGGCCCGTCTTTCTTTTGGGGGACCCTATTTAAATGGGCGGTAATGACCCCATATTCTAAGGGTCATGGACACTCCAGGTACAAAACGACACACCCAGAACGGTTCCATCTACAAAAAGTGACGAATACCCATAAAATAGCGAAAACGGAGAACCACCAAAAACACACCCCGACTTCTCGGAGAAGAAAAAAACTAGGTCCTCCAGATTTGAGAGGTTAGAATAAGGGTACCGTTTCTTTTTCTGTAGTCTATTTCAGTAGGGGAAGCGAATCTCCCAAGCAAAAAAGAAACAAGTGAGAGGTCGGGCACCAATTGCTGGGAGACCTAGAAAAAAAACACGTCAGCAACTGGAGGCCAAGCTCCAACCACCCCCCGAAGTCTCCAAAACAAAAATGTGCCCCGAAGGCTCACCTCACCTCGGCTGCCCGGCTGATCGTCCTGGAAGGCGAGCCATGGCCCGCCCTCCCGCGCCAGGCGCGCACGGTCGATGAGCCGCGCGCACTCCTCGCGGGAAAATCGGACGGATTTTTGTCGCTGGAGGGAAAAAACGCAGATGCCCAGTGGATTTCCATAGGAACTCACTTGAGTCACTTGCTCAAAACCCTGGATTAAAATTGTCGTAGTCCCAGAACCATGCTTCAAGAATTCAGAAGGCGGCCGCAGCTGTTTATGGTTGGGATTGTCCCTTACTAACCTTCATCTACCCGGGCTTTGATTGTGGCTCACTTGGCCAGTGACCAGCCAAAAACATGTGTACACTGTTGGGCCACCAGTAAAAAGGGAGAGCCACCCAGGAAAAAAGGTGTAAAGTGTGTCCACTTGGGTGAGGGAACAAAAGGGCCTCCTTCTTTGGTTGGTTTAAAGGGACACCCGCCCAAATAAAAGAGGAAACAAAGGGCACCACTGGGCAACTGGACGGAAACTCGCTATGCAGGATGCAGACTGAGCTTTTTTCTGCATCGGTCAGAACAAAAACGCAAAAGGCTTCGGCAAACCTTTGCAAGTGCACGCCTCGCAACTTGTACGTACAGCCAAACCCAACTCTTTCCTAGGTCCTCCAGTAGAGAGGATAGAATAAGGGTACCCGATGTTTTTGCTGTAGTCTTTTTGAGTAGGGCAACCCTCCCCCAACAAAGGGGGTGAGAAAGGGCACCCAGCTGGGGGATCTAGTTTCAGCCCCACCCAATTCGCCACCAATCATTGGGCACCTCATTGGGTGTGCAAGTTCTTGAGGCGGTTTTTTGGTTTGGCTGGCGTTGAAAGACAAACCACGAGGAAAGCCACCGGTTTTGCGGGGTGCCCTATAAAAGACACAATCCAGTGGCCTGGAATGCGCGGAGGGGTTCTACCCTTTTGATGTCACATGGGGAAGGTAGCCCCGTCGATCCGGGTATCTCTCTGAAGCACTGCAACCCGTCGAATATCCACTCGAGGGAAGAAAATGAACAAATGGCAGTGGGTCAAGAATAGGCTAACCCCAAAATTGAATTCCGTGTTCCCCAGAGTTGAGCCAAGAGGGTCCAGGAGTCCAGGAGTAGTTTCTTGGGTCAAAATTAAACCAGGAGTTGGACCGCAGGTTTTGGTCTATGTTACCAGAAAACCAGGGTTCCATTTGGGTACCGTTTTTTTTGGGGGTGCCTTTCTGATACTGTTACTGTTTCATGTTTCGTCAACCTTAAAAACAAGGCAGATGTTCGGGGGTCTCCCCCTATTTGGCGCAAGTCTTCCATTAACAAGCAAAGCAAATGACATAGGCAACTGTTCAGTTGTCTATTTGCATCCAACGTTAGCATAGTTCGGGAGTCAGCTAGTCAGTCAGTCAGTCAGTCAGTCAGTCAGTCAGTCAGTCAGTCAGTCAGTCAGTCAGTCAGTCAGTCAGTCAGTCAGTCAGTCAGTCAGTCAGTCAGTCAGTCAGTCAGTCAGTCAGTCAGTCAGTCAGTCAGTCAGTCAGTCAGTCAGTCAGTCAGTCAGTCAGTCAGTCAGTAGTCAGCAGAGTCAGTGAGTCAGTGAGTCAGTGAGTCAAGTTAATCAGTTCGTCAGTCAGTTTGCGAGTCACGTTGTTTTTGCTTAGCTTCTTAGTTTCCTACAAAGCTTGCTTTGTATTTTTGTTTGTCAGTCCGTCTGTCTGTGTGTGTTGGCTTCTTAGCTTGCAGCTAGTTCGTTCCTGGTGTTGGCTGGCTGGCTGGCTGGCGGATGGGTGGGTTGCTTGCTTGCTTGCTTGTTTGCTTCTTGCTTGGTTACTTGTCTGACCTGCTGCATTGACTGGCCAAACCAAAGATTGAACTCTTTTGTTTGTTTTATCCTGGACTAAAATGATGAAGAAACCTGCTTGGCTAGTTGGTGAGTTACTTGCTTGGTGGTTTCATCTTTCTGCGCTTTTCGTTTTCCCTTTCGCTCAGCCCATCACCTCCCCCGAAAAATACTTGAAGGGGTGATCGGGTACGTAGTAAGTGGGGTGATTGACTAGGTCCTCCAATAAAGAGGTTAGAATAAGGGCACCCTTTTTCTGTAGTCTATTTTAGTAGAGGAACCCTCCCCCAACAAAGGGCACCTGGCTGGGGGACCTAGATGCGACCTAGTTGACCCATTGTTGAAGGGTCCGAAGGAGACTCCCGGTACCCGAAACCCGCGCGACGCGCTGTACGTGAGTCGCTTGTGTGTAGGTCCTCCAGTAGAGAGGTTAGAATAAGGGTAGCCTTTTTTCTGTAGTCTATTTCTTACCCCTTAAAACTCCAAGCCCTGGGGAAGTGTTCATCTTTTACAGCCATATAGCCCATGTTACCCAAAGAGTTGAAAAGTTGTGTTTTTCAGAGGTAAGATTTTAATAGGAGAACCCTCCCCCCAAAAAAGAAACGGTAAAAGAAACGGCACCAATTGCTGGGGGACTTGTCCTCTGGAGGCAGCAGCTCGCCGGCGCGGTACAGCTGGCCCTCCGCGTCGAGGCGCAAAGGCACGTGGCGCAGGCGGTTGCCTTCGGCGCAGGCGAGCGGCACTCGTAAGGCAAGCTCTAGGCACGCGGGCAGGGGTTGTTGGTCTTTTTTCTTTGTTTAGCAAAATGAAAAGCTTGTTTTTTTTTTTACAAAAGAACAAGTTCTTGGGCTCTTTTGGGATTCTTTTGGGTTTTCTGAAGAATTGTTGGCCCAAAGCTGTCCTTGTTTCTCTTTGGTTTAACATGCTCGAGTCGAAGGCTTTGGCTGTTGTGGGACTGGGAAAATACCTCGTGAACTAGTTCCGTCTACCTGATTCTTGGGACCCTGTTGAGTCATTTTCCCAGGGTGTAATGTTGACCCTTAATCAACCCCAGTTTCTTACTAGGGGGTGGGTGTTCCCCTCCAAAAGTGGTCTGATTCCCCACATTTCACCCAGGGACAAGACACCCTATGAATAAACTGCTCGGTTGATTGAAATTCATTTTTCCCCACATTTCACCCAGGGGAAGAAGAAAAAACACTGTGAACTCCACTGGTCGGTGGACATTAATCCATTTTCATCTGGGGTCAACAAATTCCTTGGACCTTGGCACAAAGCGCCGAGATGGGACCCACACCTCGCCGGTGGAGCTCAATGAAGGCCTCCCAGCAGTAGAGGTCCGAGCCTTCAACCGAGCGGTCCTGACACCTGCCTCGAAACCGTGCCCTGAAGTCGCCAGGAAAAAGATGAGAAAAAAGCGACCAGTAGTGAAATTGATCCCCTTTAAAACCCCTGGACAATAAAAACAGAAATTGGACCATTGAAAGCAATTGGAGGCTCTGGGTTTGGTATCACAGAAACCTGGGGCTACAGCCAAGTTTCCATTTGCGTTGTTGTCCCCTGGATAAAAACATGAGACAATATGTCCGGTAGTGAAATTGATCCCCTTTAAAACCAACAGGGGAAAATGAAAATGATTGCTAACCAAATGGAAGATTGCTCTGGGACCACGAAGGTTTGCGGTTTTAAGTTCAAATGGTCCCTTGTGGTTGACCTAAAGTTTGTTGTGTTGACTCCAAGTGGTTCTCTTTTAGCTTCAACATCAGGGAGATTGACCTACTCGTTCGCCAAACACAAAGCCCGAGAATAACACCTTAATTATGGTACGCAGGAAGATTTCAAGCCCTAGACACAAACTCACTCGACACCAAAACAGGAAGGCTCGGAAAGACACCGTGGGGTTCTGAGAAGAGTTCCGAGGATTTTTGTCCGATACTTTTCTCATCGAAACAGGCGAACAGGCGAACAGGCACGCCCAACGCCCTGACAGAGCAACTTGCCGTCCGCGTTACTTCCTGGATGCCAACGCAATATTGCAAGTCAACTAACAAAACACAAAAATAAACAAAAAGCAATGGGAAATCGCATAAAAGCAGAGAATTGGGTTCCTTGTTCCCTCACTTGCAATACTTGGGTCAAGTGTATTTAGAATGAATCGCAATAAATTCGTGAATCAGCTTCCGAATGTTCCCTTACAAGTGTTTCTCCAGATTCGATTGTTTTCGGGTCTGTCTTCTGTTGAAGGGTAACCTGTTTTTTTTTTTGTGGTTTTGAAGGGAGGTCAATAGGAAAAACCAAACCATTTTTAGGGGCCCCCTAAAACAGATGAGTCACCCATACGTTGGTATTCAAAGGAAACAAAGAGGTGATCCACCAGGACTCTCCGATTTGGAGAAACAACTTGCGGTGGCATCCAGCGTCTAGTCAGTCTCTCTCTCTCTCTCTCTCTCTCTCTCTCTCTCTCTCTCTCTCTCTCTCTGTCTCTCTCTCTGCGCTCGCCAAAAAGCTTTCCAAACTGTGGGTCGGTCCAAAACAGGTTGGACACTTGGGTTTAAGATGGCCTCTGGCTAAAATAGTCCAAATCCAAGTGACTAAAGTCCGAAGCGGAACTCAGGAAGTGAGTAAGGACACGCACAGCATCGTTTCACACGAAGGCCTTGGATTGCAACCGATTCCCAGGGACCCAATTTGGAGGATGACAATCCGAAACGGAATCAACGAGTGGTGAAATAGGAACCGAACCATTGTTTTAATGCTTGTTTCAAGAATCCTTAGGTAAACAATCCTTAGGTTAAGTTATATTTGAACACAGAACCCACCATTTGAATTTTAAGGGTGGCCTGCCTTAACCCCCCGAACCCCACAACTAGTCATAACCCACTGAACGGAGACTTTTAACCATGATACCTGGGGTATAACCATGGCTATTACCCAGTATGCCCCTGCCCCTTGAAGTACCTGGAGTCTCCTTCTGACCCGAATCTCAAAAATGGGTCAACCCCCAAATTTTTCGGGGTCATCCGCATTTTTCAGATTCGGGTCAGGAGACTCCAGGTCTCTCTTCTCGCTCTCGCGCCGAAGGGCAGTCTTCGCACAGGACCTCCGCCACGGTGGCTGGGTACTCCGAGCCTCGGAACTGGGGCGCGGTCTTTAGGCTCGTCGGGGTTCGTTGGTCAAAACCCAAAAGAGAAATCGGCACCTCAGAAAAGGTGAAGGGCCCGTGGCCCGTTTTTCGGGGGCCCTGGAATTTTCTCGACAAATAAATGAAACACGTGGGTTGCAATCCTTGAAAGGTTTTCAATCAAACACGGCACATTGACTTGGATTCCGAGTGGTTGTTGTCCCCAAGCAATGGGTGCATGACGCCTGTGCGACTATGTGATCATATTTTTGTTAAGTGGTACCCTTCAACACCTTTCCGTGATTTGATTGTATAGGGATCACTGGATTCCCCCAAATCAAAAGTTGATCAATTTACTGGTGGGATGACATTGAACACTGCCACTTTTGGAGGTTCCAAAAAGGGAGATGGACACTCTGCTATGGAATCCGCAGGGTCTGCCAAACCGTCCTCTTGTTTAACCAGACTTAGCTTCCGAATTTGTTTGCTGGCAAAACATGAAAATGGAGACACGTTCAAAGCGGAAACAAAAAACAACATGCGCTGATTTACCGGAAAAAGGCCAGCCACCGCCTTTTTTTGTTGGCAAAGGATATGCCCACTGTGGTCATCTACGTCTATTGGTAGCCCTTCTGTCATGTGCCTTCGCCATGGGCGAAGCTTAGCCCAAGGCAGGAGAGTCCGCCCAGGACCTGACGAAACGCGTGATATGGCCACGTACCCCCTGTGAACCTCCCAATCCCCAATGAAATAGACTAAAATGGGTGGTGAATTCACCTACCCCAAAATGGGACCTTTGGTTTTGACCCACAGCCATATGAGAGGTGGGGAGGGGCAACCAACTCAAAGGGGTGGCGTCTATGCAACAAAAGGGTGGAGGGAGCCCTGAGCTGAGGAATTCTCGAACCGTGCAACTGCCCTGGCAGGGAGTTGCCCAGTTTGGACGTGGAAACAAAAGGTGAGATCACCTTTTGGAAGCTTGACTTTTGACAAAGTCAGGGAAACCAAAAGCTTAACAGGCCGATTTGCTTTGGGCAAGTGGTATACAGAAACTAGATGAAGCTACAGAAACTAGTGGTTTCATCATACTATGTCGTTGCCGTGGGATGTAGCACAGGTGCTGATTCTTGCCGTGCAAGTGCCATGGCTAGTCAAAAACAGACGAGAGAAGCACCTTGAGGGGCTCTTGGAAGGAGATTCCCGTAGTGGTTGGACGCTGCGGTTGGACAGATTCCAAACCCACGGCATGCCAGGAGTTACAACTGAAACGAACCCCAAAGCCAAATTAGGGATCTTCAGACATCCACTGGCGAAAGTACAAAAGCTGGTTGACCTTCAAGGGGAACCCAAGCCAAGACAAGAGGCAGCGGCAGTTTCGGAGGTCGGGGAATACGAGTCAACTCGGAAAACGATCCGCCGGGTTGAAGCGCACCTTCTTCCTCTTCTGCCGGATGTGGGGCTGACGTTGGGCCACCTTCGATCGGCAAAAGGCAGGAATCCAAAGCCTCGAGATGCCTTTGAAGAGGTGAAACAGATCCGTACGAAGCCCACAACCTGTGGCCATGGAAATGGCGCCACCTTTAGGGTTGACTTCAAAGGGAACCCCCCTTCAAGAAAGGCTGCAACCAGGAAGCAACCCACTGGAGGTCACTGGGCAGAACTTGCTTCGTTAAAACTCGGCTGGGCGGGTTAGAGACATTTACGCCGACATGGAGAAACGCCTCCATGACGCAGGGGCCACGTGCGCCGTAGGTAAACTCCCCTCCCACTTCTGGGGTAGAGACAAGCGAAAACTGTTTCATATGTCATTCTTTAGGACTCGGACCCCCCAAATGGTGGCTTTCCTTTTGGTTTCCCTTTACACCCAACCAAGAAAGGGGTCGCCAAGAACGTCAGACCCACCCCAAAGTCTAACTTCGTTCCAGGATCAGAGACCCGCATGTTGGTATCCCACGCATTGGTAGGTAAGCGCCCAGAACTCAGACGAGACAATTGGCCAGGCAACAGCCCCCTTACCAACCCCAAATCAGTTCTTGCCCCCCCCCCAGCCAGAAATGTTATCTTTGATTCCTGTTCATATTTAGTGAACATTGCAATGTAAAATGCTCCGCAGATCAACATGGAACCGGCAGGGAACTATTTTCAGAGATCGCCTGCTTTGGGACTGCTTGTTGAGTTCCATGTCCAGGTCCTCCAGTAGAGACGTTAAAAAAAGGGTACCCGACTTTTGTTTTCTGTAGTCTATTTCAGTACGGGAACCCTCCCCCAAAAAAGAAACGGTAAAAGGGCACCTAGCTGGGGGACCTAGATGTTACTTTCGGCAGTAGTTTCACAAGAACCACCACTCGGCGGTTACTCGAAGTTCGGAAGGCCTCCTCATAGGCTTGATCGCAGAAGAGCGTGTTGTCCTGGAGCTGGTCCAAGTAATCTTGGCTGACGCTGGAAGGGGAGCAAAGATCTAAATTTTAGCGGCTAAGTGGTTAGATCTCCCACTAAACCACAATAAGCAAAATGGCAACTGTTCCCAACAACAACCATGCAATTCCCTTGTGAACACCAAGGAAGGCCCCAAACAATCTGTTTCACACTATCATATGCCCACATGGGGGGACCCCCCCAAAATGGTGTTCCTTTTCGTTTCCCTTTGAAACCACAAACATGAGGTACCAACACATCTCTACTCTTGGTATGGGCTTGCAAAAAGCTGACGGTTTTTTGCAGACCCCCCAGTAAAACTGAACAGAACCGAAAAAGAAAAAAAAAAAAAGCCGAAAAGACATGATCCAAGAACGGTGAAGATGAGGTACCAACGACAAACAAGACGAGCGTTTGGTGGGATTCTCAAACTGGCCGAGCCCTTTGGCCTTTGGAAACCAAAGACGTTGCAGGGACCTAGGGACGGCCAGGGCGCGGCAAAACGCCCTGCCGGAGAAACCCAGACCCCCCAAAAACGCCCATTCCTGACAGGACCCAAGAAACGTCTCTAATATTTTGGCTTACCAAGCACCAGAAAGTCGAAAACATTTTGGCTTAACGCTAAACTGGTCCTCCCAAAAAGTTCAAAGTCCAGCTCAGGGAGTGCGGAACTGAATTCCGCTCCGTTCGATTTCACAAAGCTTTGGCCAACGACTGATTGTGGGTCTCCATGGGAGGCTCCGAAAGTTTGGGCTTCTCCATTTGCTCGGCTCCTTTTTTGGAGTTGGTGCCCTGTTTTTTTTGGTTTTGAAGGGAAACCAACAGGAACACCATTGCCATGTTTGGATATGTTTTCGGGTTTTCGATTTTAAGAAAACTAACCGACCAGTTTCCCTAGTTGTAATGATTATGGCCTACTTACCCAACGTTGGCAACGAACGTAGACACCCCCATTTGTCTTCCAAGTGTTTTTCTTTTGAGTCTATGAACTCCGCCCCTTCAGCCAACTCGACTCAGTGCCCAGCGACCAGAGGATTCTGCTTGCTGCTTTGGCGCCGTTCCAAGTTCTTCACAACCCAAACGGTTTGGGCTCGCAAAAAGACTGTGTTTTTTGCAGTCCCCTAAAAATGAACAGAACCAAAAACCACAAAAACTAACAACACTTGCCAAGAACAGTGAAGCAAGCCAGATGGCTCTTTCAGCCGTCGCATTGGCCCTTGTGTACATTCAGAATTTGTCACTTCCCATCGAGTGGTTTGGCAAAACAAAGTCCTGGAACTTCGTTAGGGGAACTCAACAAGGTCTTCCCAAAACGCTTAAAGTCCAAGAAGTCAGGGAGTGAGGAATGTGTTTGTGCTTGATGAATCAGGTCCCTTTGGAAACGCATAATCACCCCTTATCACGGACCCTCAGTGTGTCCTTCGCCTTACGCCAGGATGAAAGTACATGGCACATTTCCCTTTATGTCCGCAACTCAAGGGGATGATGAAAACAGCATGAGCGCATTGTGCCATTTACTTTTACGCAACTGTAATCAAATTACCCAAAAAGGCACAGCGGAAGACCGGTCCACTTCACAGGTCGCCAGCTGGTCCGGGTAGACCTGTGCCGGGCTCATGCAAATGCCATGGATGCGATCCTCTCCCTCTCTGTGTTGTTGGGTCCTCATGCCAATCTGCAGGCATCAACCATTTCAAATTCCATCACTCACTGCCAATATGCATTAGATATCACCTAAAGTTCCTTAAGGAGACCAAGGACAGTTGTGTTGATCCCTGTCGCCTGTATGAATCGAAGAAGCAGACAAAAGAAACCGGAAAACCCCAGCTGTGACAGCCCCAGATCCTCTAGCTCTCAATGGACAAGTCAGTCAGATCTAAGGCAAGCATCACATCTTCGGCGTGAATGACCGCTCCATAGCGCCTCTTGGAGGGCACTGAAAGGATCATTGCATATAGAAGAGTCATCTGTCAGGTGCCATGTTGGGAAGGGAAAGTACCGAGGCCCAAATGAAGACTCCAAAGACCCTGCCAGACTCAAGCAAGTGGTTTGGAGCCCAGGTGGGTTTTGTTGAAAATGCTTTTGCTTGTTAGCAGAGCCTACCATTATGAGGAGTGGTGGGTGGTGCCACACCTCCGTGTATTCAATGCAATTCGTATCGCAAATCATGTGACTTTGGCCGGCCGAACACAAGGCACAAGCTGAAGAAAGAATCAGCAAACCGCAGCTCCCTGAATTCTGAGGACTGGCGATATCTCGCCAAAATACCGACCCAGTGTTCGTTTCGCCCAAGTGATACAAATTCCCCATTCAGGTTGGTTGGATCATTCCCTTTGCATACCGGCGCAAAGGGAATTGTACTTTTGGTTTTTGTGGGGTTGTCCCAAAATGAGGGCATGAAGCCAAAGTGGCTGGTGGTCTGGTGTCCGAGTTCGCTTCAAAACCATCCTGAAAAGCTTTCATGTGAAGCTCTGGCAGCTTGAGTAGTCCCCCGAACCCTCCCAAAGGCAATAAACCGCCCCCTCCCCCGTTCTTAAGGAGGTCCGCTGAAGTGATCCTGGTGTGTGTGTGTGTGTGTGTGCCTGATTTTTCTTGAGCCACCCGTTTTGAGATTCATGTCTTGAGGGCAGCCTAAAGGCAAACCACCCAGTTTGGGAGTGCCAGTATTTTGACACCGTGCGGCGCTTGGAGCGAGCGAGCCGGCATGGAGCTGGCATGGAGCTGGGTGCGCCGGGCCGAGCAGGTGGTCTGCTCGCACTTCACCGTGGTGTGGTTTTTCCGCTTCCCCGTGGCGTGGGTGGCGGCCTCGATCGCCGGATCTCCGAAAAACAAACATCGGCGGCCGACTCAAAGGCTTCCCCTGGTCAGAGGATTGGAAGTTACGAAGTCCCAATCTTCGTATCTTCAGGAACTGTTGTCCCCTGGACTAAACAAATAATATGCCCAATGGTGATAGATTCCCTTTACCAACAAGGGAGCAAATCTAGGTCAAAGGAACGTCTGGCTGTGTCTAAGCCATTTTCCCCTGGGGGCTTTGTGAATTTCAAGAAACCCTTGATGGGTTAAAATCATTGACTAGGTCCTCCAGTAGAGAGGTCAGAATAAGTTGGTACCAACTTTTTTCTGGACGTCTATTTTAGTAGGGGAACCCTAACAACCAACCAAAAAAGGAAACGGTAAAAGGGCACCTAGCTGGGGGACCTAGTACTGCTCACTTGCCCAGCTTGGACCTGGAAACAAAAGCTGATCACCTTTTGGGTTGCCATGACTAAACATGGTTGCCGAAATGGGGGAAGAAACACGTCAAAAGGTCGGCTTTGGACAAGTGAGACTGTGGATGGACGCGGAATCCAGAAATCGCAGCACGAAATTAATGCAGCCATGGTTGAAACCACAATGTTCGTTGGTATCTAGAGGGGAATCGAATCATTCCAGGGTTTCTTGGGTGGTGCATGATTTGTCCATCCACAGTATGGCCAATACCCCATGACCACTCTGGAGCACGGGAGGGTGGCTAGCTTTTTATAAGTGATCGACTTACCCATCAACCAGCAGATACCTGGCGATCAATGGGTCTCGAAAAATCAAACAAGACCAAACCCGAGTTGGTTTCTTGAACTAAAAATAAAATTTTAGGGTTCACACATTCAGCCAAGGGAAATAAGGGAAGTCCAAATCCTTTTGACGAGGACACCATCCGGATTTGGAAGAGCCCACTAAGCTGCCCTTGAGGGGGGCTTGTGAAATTCACTTTGAAAGGGTAACCCATATGGGCGAGTCTGTTTTCGCGGAAACCCCCCCCCAAAAAAAAAGAGCCCTCTAAGCAAAAATCCTTTAATTTTTAAGGGTCAAATGGGGAAAACCAGGTTTTTGGGCAAGTTTTGGGGAAATAAGGGTTTTCCAGGGAAAACCCTGATTTTTCGTTTACATCCTTTATTTTGGCACTTTTCGCAAGCGAAATGTCGGATGTTTGAAGAACGGAGCAAAGGTGCCGGATCTCGAGCAGGTGTTGAAAGGAGCCGCCATGATTCTTCCACTGCCAAATTGTATATTGGATTTCTAGATGTTTTTGGGGAAGCTCTTGTGGTTTCCTTTTGTACGGCCAAGTGCGCGATAGCCCCCTGCTCCTCAAGATTGGAGCTCAAAAGGCAGGGGTACACGCGAGGGCGCGGTCAGCCAAAACTCAAGAATGGAGGGGGGGACAACAACTTGAATGTACAAGTGTGCAGTTCACTACATGACCATCAGTAGCTCTGCGTGATTGAAACATCATGCTCAAGCATGGTACCTAATTGATTTGTTTAAGGCAGTATGCCAAAGTGGCACTTGCATTCGTTACTCGGCGCGCAAAACAAAGCTGGCCTCCGCCTAAGTCGCACTTTCTTCCAGCACCCAGAGATTCCTCATATCTTCGATTCGATGGGAAGCACAGTCCAAGCCAACCCTGTTGCGTAGTACGTGTTTGTGCCCGAAAACCTTCGGACGTTCTACCGCAATGTCATACAAAACAAGTTCGCTGCTCGCGCAATCTAGCTGTGTGCCCGCTTTTGTTTGCTGGAAAGCTTCTGAAGGGCGAGCGCGTGCGGAAAAAAAAGGAAACCCATAAAAGTCCCAAACGAATCCCATAAAAATCCCATACAAACCCATATTTTTTCCGAAAACCAGGTTTTTCCCAACCCGTACAAAAACCGTACAAATCCCGTAAAAAAGCCGTACAACCCCGTACTCAATGGGATTTTGAGTCTCTGCGGAAGCAGCTTTCCAGGCCCGAGTTGCCGGAAAAAAGCTTGCCGCGAAAAGCAGTCATTCATGTGTTCGTCCCACGCGTCTTTTACTATGTCCAGTGTTCAAAGTGTGTTGGGTTCTTTTGGCTCGCTCCAAAAATGTTCCTGCAACGTTTTAGACAAGCCTGCGAGCTCCACGATCATGCTTTAGCAAGGGACTTGGTTGTCAAACAAGTGAGCATTTGCAAGATGGCCCTCCAGAAGTATCCGACGTGAGCTTCAATCCCAAGCAGATTGGTTTGTGCCATACACAGTATGTATACACGTGCAGCTACCGCTTGCGGTAAACTGGAACTGCTTGTTGCCCTTGTCAGAAAGTTCATATTCCAATGTTGTGTTAAACTTCCCGAGCCACGATCTGGGAAGCCTTCCCAACAAATTGCGGATTGACCAATGTTTCGAGTTCAGCTGGTGATTTGCAACAGGTGCCATGCTCAATGAGCTCGCTTGGATGGGATTGCTAGGCGGCCGTGGAGCGTTTGACTGGATGTAAGAGAGCCAACAAAAGGATTCTGTTGAGGGAACCACAACCAGAACTCACGCAAGACCATTCTGATTACAACGCAAAAAGTAAAAACCCGGTATTTCCTGGAAAACAAAAACCGGATATTTTGCCATACCTTTAAAATAAACGGATATTTGCTTAGAGGGAGTTGTCATTTTAGTGTTTCTTTCAACTACCGAAAAGGGGTGCGCTCGAAAAAGACAAACCCATATGAGTCTGGGTGAATAATACAATGGGCGAAAACCACTTCGCACCCGAGATGGATGACACCGGCAGAAAAAAAAAAACACACATGTCTCAACTGGGGTTTCGTTCATCAGTCAGGCAAACAGGCGGGTGTTTGGTGGCTTTGAAGGCAAGTTTGGATACTTTGTGGGTTCTCGACAAAAAAGCACAGCACGAGCCCATTTGATGGTTTGGATCGCTGGGATTGGCACCCTACCTTTTGATCCCAGGGGAAGGTACTTCCCCCAATCTAAACCACCGGGCACATGAAAGAAAAACTTGCTGGTGCTCAGCAGGGAATGAGAAATGGAATGACCCCTACAAACAATTTGTTGTGGTTCCTTTATGCGGGAATCCTCAGGTTCATTCCCCAATTCCCTGCTGAGCACTAGCAAGAAGAAATGGAGCAAGGTCAAATGCTCAACAGGCTCGGCCGAAAGTTCTGGAGGTGACTGGCAGCTTGCAACCTCACGAAGACTTACCTGGCTTCCCAATATCTCCTCTGACACCCCCCAATTCTAGGAAAACCACTTACAGCCAAGGGGATCACAAAAAAGCAGACGCTTCCCTGTTCGGCTTCCTTTTCACACACACCCCAATTCTAGGAAAACCACTTACAGCCAAGCAAATCACAAAAAAGCAGACGCTTCCCTGTTCGGCTTCCTTTCACACACACACCAATTCTAGGAAAACCACTTACAGCCAAGGGGATCACAAAAAAGCAGACGCTTCCCTGTTTGGCTTCCTTTTCACACCCCCCAATTCTAGGAAAACCACTTACAGCCAAGGGGATGACCAGAAACCAGACGCTTCCCTGTTCGGCTTCCTAAAACCAGGCTCTTCCTCCCAAACCGGAAACCGCTGTAGCCGGAAGATCATAGGGTGCTGAGCCGGGGCTCTCTCTTTTCATGACCCCAAGATCGTCTCACCCGCCCCAAGACCCAAAAAGAAACGGCTGCCCTTTTTTGGAATGCTGAGAATCATATCTACGGGCGCGGTCTTTTGAGGCTACCCCTTTAAGCGGTTTGTTTTTTTTCACCAAAAGGACCATATCACATTTTGTCTGGGCAAGACGCACTTTGATCCTGTTTCGTCGAAACAGGCAACACCACAAGGTCAACAGGTCGGCTTTGGACAACGAGAGATGATTTAGCACCGACCAGGAGACACCAAAAAACCTCCAAGAATGTCAAATACCCCCCAACAAAAACCAATGTTTCCAAGAGGGCACGGCCAATTTACAGGTTTCTGAGCACTCTAGGGAATTTAACTGTTGTGGACCCCGGGCACAACAAGGAGCCAACTTTCGCTCAGCGCCCGACAAAGCCCTCCAGCGAGAAGAAGTCTTTGCACTGCTCGCACCTCGGACGAAAGCGCACCCGAAACGGCTCCCGCAAACAGAGGCTGAACATGATGGTGGTTTGCACTTCCATGTCAACCTGCACGGGAATGATTCACGGAAAGGAGTTGAACATTCCCAAGCTGGATGAACTGCGAGGATCAATCGGGCAACATCCTGTGCACTTTGGCAGTGAAACGTCTTCACAGTTTCCCTTACTCTCCCATCAATACATCCTCCCGGCATTACAAGGTGGGCGCTGGTATGCATAGCTACCCCCTCTTGGAGATACCATGAAGTGGCTAGGGCTCCATACCAGCGACCCATACAACTTTCCTGGAATGGGTACCCACGTGAGCCATGGTCAGATACGACATTTGCGCGAAAAGGTTGGATCCCCCTGTGGTTGGTATTCAAGGGGAAACTTAAATGAAAACCGAGCATTTTAGGGGACCCCTTGGAGAACCTCGTATGAGTCATATGGCTTTAAGAACCATAGCCTATGAAAGCCATTTAGGAGACCCTATTTTGACCATGCCGGGGGTTAATTCCTCTGGCTTTATTTTGCCCACTGGGCAGCTCCGGTGCTCAGGTCACTCGGCTGGGTCGCTGACGCCTTCTGTGGTTTCGAAGCAAATTGAGCACACGGCACCAAGCAGTTGAGTCAAGCTGACGGAACCGACGGAATGACAGGACAAAAGCCACGTGTTGTTTTGCTGCCCTTCCATCAAGACATAATTTTCGACCTGGGCTCAAGATGAAAGGTCGGCGAATGCAATTGTTTCATCACATAAAAAGGGAGCTACCACAAAGGCGACCAAATCCTTAGAAAGCCTGAGAAAAGGATCTTGTGGATGCCGACGCAGCCCGGTTTCCGCCACTTGCCTAGATGGTTTTGGCTCTGGGCCCCTCTCTCTCCTTAAACTCCAACAAGAATCCACAAACGAAACCTGCCCAAAACATGATGTTAAACAAACCAACAGGGAACCCACAAAGTTGGCTACCCTCTAATATGGCTATGGGTCAAAAGCCCGTACCCTCCCAATCCCCACTAAAATAGACTAAAATGGGTGGTGCACCTACCCCAAAATGGTGCCATTGGATTTGACCCACAGCCAAATTGGTGGTTTAAATGCTTTGGAGGTTTTGGGCCGCTGCCCACGTATCCTCTACAAGAAACGGGGTCCAAACCACCACTCCAGGCCAAATAGGGGTACCCGATTTTTTTCTGTCGTCTATTTTAGTAGGGGAACCCTCCCCCAAAAAAAGGTAAAACGGCATTACTGGGGGACCTAGTCCTTAAACGAGCAGCATGAAGAATTGCTAGAACTACACTTTGAGGAAAAAACCAACAAGCGCGCCCAGTCCCTTCCCTCCGCCAGTTGCGGCGATATGAAGCGATCGAGGGGTTATCTCCGCCAGGCCCATAGCTCCCTTGGGGTCCGCACTTCACTCGCGCAGGCTGGCCCTCAATCTCAGTGCCTCAGGAAAATCCTTTTGGTCAATCAAAAATAACTCCACCAGTACGAAACAATGGCAACGAACGAAGAGAACCAACACGAGCGGGGCCTATATGTATTCTTAGCGCCAAGGTTTAGTGCTCCACAAGAAACTTCACTACGCATCTTTTGCATTTGGTAGCAATAATACCATTTTGAAGTGAAGACACCAAAATCCGGTAACGGAGATAAGGTGCATACCTAGAACATCGAATGTGTAACATGTCCGCCGTATGCTGAAAAAGCACGAATTTCCGACGGTTCAATTCAAATCCGCCGTTTCGATTCAAAGTGCTTTTTGGCAGCCTTGCTTCCTTCCCTAGTTTTCCTGGGGGCAGCGTGTTCAAAGGCAGGACAATCCGCTTTTAGACGGGGACTATTCGCATTTTGACAGGCAAAATCTGCCTTTTCGCGAACCAGTAATGAGTGCAGGATTTTCAGAATTGTCCAAGATGACATGATTGCGAAAAAGTGCTCGTAAATTTGAGAAGCTCTCGGAGAAGGGAAAAATCAGTTATTTCCGACACAGCACTTATTTCACGCACAATGGAGGTCCTATAGGTATGGATATATTATATATTGTTTTCTTTTGTTGAAACAAGCTGAGCATTCATTGTGAGGAATCCCTTTGTGAGCACACTTAAGACCCCCCACCAAGCACAAAGGAATTTGGATTGAATCTTCCTAAAATGCGACAGGGGGCCGAATTTGCCCTCAGGGACGGTCGCAAAGTCCTCGTGGAGTTCAAAGGTGGGACCCCCAATCCTTGCACCCAGTTCAGATACAATCGAAATGTCTGAGAGGTATGGGTTGTGGCTTTTTCAAAATATTTCAAGCTCAGGCAGCATATGCCCTCTGAGTGGCAGATCTTGATACCTTCAGAACCTGTATCTGAAGTACCTGACGTTCCGAATCGATCGCCCCTTGTGACAATTCACATCCACACACGATCATGGGTGTCCTTTTAGGGGAAATAGATGGATATCCTTGGTAGATGATGCAACCACCAGGTAAACCAGGAATCGCCATCTATTTTTCGAGCAAAACAACCAAAAAGGACACACACACACACACACACACACTCCTTGGCCTCAGTAGGGAATGAGGGAATGAATCCAGGGATTGGTCCCCTTCAAGGAAACCACCAGTTGGATGGTTTATGCGGGATGGAATCCAGAGCCTCAGAAAAAACCAAACGGCCGCTGGTTGATGTTTTTCTGAGGCTCCGGGCACATGATCACCGCATCCGGCTTATTCAGCACCTCCAGCCGGATCTGCTCGTTCCTCACCTGCGGATGGGTAAACCGAGCTTAGCGCTCGCTGCGGCTGGGGAATGACGAGTCCTTCTTTTTTTGGAATAAACCGGTTTTGGGGAGAAACCATGGAAATGGATGGTTTATGTGGGTCATTCCCTCGTTCCTTGCTGAGAACCAGCAAGGTTAGGCTCGGTTTACCAAGTGGCTGTGGCGCAAAAGCTGTGCAGAATGGCACCTTGAATAAATGGAACCGAAGACTAAAACCTGCGCAAACAAAGAGGTCTTTAAACTTGAGCCCTATCCAAATATCCTCAAGATCTAAGACCCCACCCACCCACCCACCCACCCACCCACCCACCCACCCACCCACCCACCCACCCACCCACCCACCCACCCACCCACCCACCCACCCACCCACCCCCGCCCACCCACCCACACTTTAATTGAGGGGTTCTAATCCAAGCCTAAACCAGGGGGGGGGCCACATGCCACCTCGCCAAGAGGAGATCCGCCATGTTGAGCACCCCGCAAATAGGCTTCTCCTTGCTTCGGGGGCCGCAAAATGGGTGGTTGTCCTTGTTTGGATTCCCCTTGTAAAATACACCCAAACAGACTTTTGGAGTTCATGGATCAAATGTAACTTAGGAAGAGAACAAAGGAATGCCTCAGCCTTCAAACCGATAGCCCTGTCCTATATGCAACTCGAACAACATGTAAACACAACAAGGGCCGAACTGCAAACGGAATTGCATGGGCATGTGCCAAAAGTATTTGTTTGGGCCCTTGGGTTTGGGGTCCCTTGGAAATTATCCGTTTGGCAACCTTCGGGCACTAGAGATTCTTCGTTCGTTTGATCCCCTGGCTATAGAGGGGGCCATTGGAACCGGCGATATCTGCTAAAGACACGGCCCGGCACGGGGCCCAGGCCCGCACACTGCGCGGGGCCCAGGCCCGCGGCTTTTAGCTCGTGGGCATGTGAGTCACTTGCTCAAAGCCCGGTATCAACATGGTCGTAGTCCCAGAATGCTTCAAGAATTGAGAAGCCGGAGATCTTTCGCAGCTATTTATGGTTGGGAGTAGACTAACGTTCATCTACCCGAATCGGTTTTGAGCGAGTAGCTTTCAGCTACGGACATGGGGGTAGAAGGCTGGGCGGCGGAAACTGGAGTGGGGCGGCTGCACCAAGGTGCTGCTTTGGTGCTTACTCCTGGGAGTTGCCATGACGAAACATGGTTGATCAAAAGGTCCTCATGGGGTGACCATTGGGAAACCCACTAAGCAGATGATACCTCCATGGCTGTGGCTCAAATAAATGTACACAAATGTGGCAAATGGAACCAAAGACGGACATCCGCGCAACCACATGGCTACAAGGATCCCCCACATGGCTAGCCGGCAGAAAACCTCCCTCCAGGGCGCCCTCCCCACGTCCATTTGTGCAGTCTTCCAACAAGATCTGCGTGGCCTCAAGCAAGGAAACGAGTTCTATTTCGTCTACCCTAACATATTTAGCCTGGCGAAGAACATATGCGTCTTAGCGTGCTTTAAAAAATGAAGGACCCTCTTTTGTTGGTTTTGAAGGAAACACCGTAACAGGACAAACACAATTTTGTGGGTCCCTTCAAAAGGTCAGACCCATATTCTAGCATTTGCTTTGAAGACGCTGGCATCTGGCGGTTTTCTGCACCGCGCCTCGTGCAGGAAGGTGTCCATGTCCGCCTTCTGCTGCGCTTGGAGGGCAATGTCGTACTGGTCCTTGCGGCAGGATATTACTTGAAGGGGCAATCGGGTCATGTTGACCCCATCTTAATCAACCCCTGTTTATTGATAGGGGGGTGCTTCCCGGGGTGAAATGTGGGGAATTATCACTTTTCGAGGCGAACACCCCCCTAACTTATAATCCCTTCTTAACCCCGTAATTAGGGCTTATGTTGGGCTTATCCTGGCTTATCCAGGGACAACCCCCCCCGCCCATCCATGAACTCATGACTAAACGTGACGTTAGCGAGCCCAAACCAACTCGATATTTTCAGATCCATACAGAAAGTTGCGCGTGGCGGAAAAGGACCCCCCCGGAAAGGGAGGCGCAATTCCGAAATGCGGGTCTGCAAACCCCCCAATTGAGGCAAACGTTTAGACACCCGAACACCGGCCACTGAAGGGACACCAAAATTGAACCAACGGTTGAACGTGGATTTGCTCAGCTGTGTTTCAGCCCTGCAAACCTCCCACAGAAATCGCTAGATGTAAACTCATCTGGATACACAAAACAAAAGCATATCAAATTGATCATACTTTATCCCAACAGGTGTTGGTTTGGAGATCCCACAAACTGTTCTTGCGACTTTGCCACTGTCAAAGATAGCCACGTGATTGGTAAAAAGGAAACACCAAAAACACATGCTGACTTTGGTAACCCCGAAAAACAGAGACATCAAAGACTAAATAATGATCCCAGTAGAGCGTACAGCCTCTATATAGCCACGATTTGAAGGGCACATGCTCCATATTGCCCTGAGTCCCCGGTGGGTTGGGGGTAGTCAAAAGCATGACCAAGAAAACGATGCAAACATAGTTGTTTATTCACCCCCTGGTGTCTGATTCATACTGCGGATGGACGAAATCCATTTCGCACCACGGAATGAAACCTTGGTTGAAGCCATTGTTGGTTGGTATTTACGTTGGGTTTCTGAACGGTTGTGCGAAATGGACTTTGCAACCATCCACAGTAGGGTGTCCCCTCACATCTTCGGCTGCTCTTGGTTTCCCTTTGAGTTTCAGAATCACACATATGACCTAGAGGAGCACAGAGATTCTTCACCCCTGGTTGATTCATAGGCTGACTGAATTAACGGTGGTTTACGGCGTTTTGGGCTGGGGCTGACTGAATTCACGGCGTACAGCGGTTTTTTTTTCCGGCGTTTTGGGCTGGCGGCGGTTTTTGTTTCCGGCGTTTTGGGCTGGGGCTGACTGAATTTACGGCGTTTGGGGCTGGGGCTGACTCAATTTACGGCGGTTTCCAGCATTTTGGGCTGTGGACTTAATCTGTACGTGTCCCCTGCAAAAACATGGCACATAATTCACCGGTTTTCCCATCCGATCTCCCCGGTCGTCGGCTGATCGGCTCCAGGGGCTGCCCCGTCCTCAGCGTAGGACTCGATGGCGATCTTCAGGCGCCGCGTGGTGTCGTGCTCCGTGGTGGTGTTGATGTACATGAGCACCGCCAAGCCTTCGGCCGCACTTGGAAGAGAGGGGAGAGAGGGGCGACGGGGGCTCCTTCGGTCATTTTTTTGTTGGGGATGCCTGGGGTTGGGGTTGGGGTTCAGGGCGGAAGGCGGGTAAAAGTGGACTTGGAAATTATTTAAAAGGTTTTGTTCCACCAAGGGGGCCTGAGTTGATGGATTCGAGTACAAATCCAGTGAACCAAGCGACGAAGGTTTGATCGAAGAGTGTCTACGATTAATTGTTTCACTTCCCCGAGTCCACTACTCAGATTTAATGGGATGAACTGCCACATAGTCCTTTACAATTCAATTAATTGGATATCGCAATCGATTCATTTTTGAAGGCCGACCAATTCACACATGCGTCAATTTGCCCTCTACGGGTATCCTCTCTCCAACAATCATGGAAGTGACAACGGGCCTTTTCAAGAGAGCAATAGTCTCGCAAAGCTTTCCTGTCCACCAAGATTGTTGGAAAGAGGGCAACCGAACGGGAAATTGTTCAAAAAAAACGCGTGGTACCCTCTTTGAGGTTGGTTTCAGGGAAAACCAAAGGGAGACCGAAGCGCACTTTGCATGTACCAAATCCTACTTTGAAACAAACCATAATCGCTCGTTGGATTCCGGTCCCTCTTCAATTCTGGCTTCAAAAACAACCTCCTTTGGATTTTGATCACCCAACTGACCTAAACGGACGCTTATGCCCCGCAGGCCCTCCAAACATCAACGCACCAAACAGACATTCACTTCAACGTGGTACCCAACCACTGTGTGATATCGCACAGAAAGGGTTCGGTCTGGGTTAGCACAGTCCACACTTGTCCATGGCCTGGCGGTTTGCTTGAGAAGCCAATCACCTGCCAAAGGTATCGTGGGTGCCTTCTTGCAACGCCGATACTTCGCGCCGAATTGAGGAGCCCCCGATGAAAGGGCTCCAAGACATTCACCAGCCCGCTGCGTAGAGAGGCGTCCCTTCAGGAAATCACCACATCTTTCTACCCGTGTGGTTTGATCGTCTTACAGCAACCCTGACATATGGAACTTGTTTGGGGAGGGGGTGTGCCTTTCTATAGCACAAAGAGATGATTCGAGTGCCCATTCTGGGAAACTTGAGGCCAGGGGACCTATTTTTTTGGGGAAGCCCAGAACCTCAAAAGTTGAGAACATGGGCTGGAAATCAAAGCGGCCCAGGCACGCTCAATGATCTCCGGCGTCACCGGTGGCAGCTCTCGGTAGATGCGGTTCCTAAGGCATTCCGAGCTTGCCACCTATGTTCCGCCCAGATGGCCCATAGACGACTAGAAGGCTTCGCCAAACCTCACATGGAACCCCTTTGCATTAGATCAGGCAAAAAACAATCTTACAAGATGAGAAGTAGCCTTAAAAAACCGGGTAGGCATTGGCTCGTCCTTTACTCGCTGGTTCTCTGGCAATACGGGAATGAACCGTGGAGTCTGCAGGAAACGACAAGTTGGATCATATTTTGCATATGTTAAACCTGATCTATCTGCTGAATTTAATGTTGGTTTTGAACTTTTATCTTATCACTCAACATGGAAAAGGGCCATTCTCATCTAGAGATCCTTCTATGGTGGACGCTAGGTCTGCTTTGCAGCCTCCTTCTTAGCTTTGTAGGGCTGCAACAAATCGCAGCCAGGGGACCCAACAGAATTCCTTGCCGTGGTGCGAGGTGAAACCAATCGACGGAAGCAGGATTAAACGTCCAGACCAACCGAGGCCACAGAGTAGGTCAAAGAGATTGGCTAAAGGGTCAACGGAGAATACCGAGAGGTGGCACAACTCCCGTTATGTGGGCACGATTGAGGGTGTGGCTCAATTGTTTTAATGGGGTTCCACCGCAGTGCCACTATCCAGCCCCCGTTTGTACTGAGTAGGGCTCCAAATTTCTGAGGCGCAGGCAGGACTTCGTTCATGATCACCGCCAAGTGTGGCTTCACCTGTTCCAGCATGCCACTGGAAGGAAACCAAAAAACCAAACAAATGCGCTAAGAACCTCCAATAACGCCCCCTGACGGAAGGCCGCGGTGATGTATTTGGCTCTTGGATGGTTTCCACTGCGCCAAGCAACGTGGGCACACACTGCACTTTCCTTTGAGGGTAGTGGTTTTGGGGAAAAATAAGGGAGAGTTTGCTATGATAATGCAAGATTCGGATTCAACAACACCGTGTCTGCTTGCTTTTGCAGATTCCTCGCGGAAACCTGTTTGGGCTACACAACCCATGCCATGTTGCCAAGAGGGTTTGGGGTCCCATTGCGTTATTCAACCACGAGTTTCTCAGTCCTTGGGTTCTCACTCAGAACATTCGCCAGGGAGAAGCGCCCGGAACCCATTGGTGCTTGGAGACCTCTGGTACCAACAGCACTGAACTGAGCGCATCGCCGAAACGCATGTCTGGGTGTGCGAGTGACTGATTTGCTGGTTTAAGTAAGCGACTGGATGCCAATCTCGAGAGCAAATTCTTGCACCAAAGCCTCTTCTGCATGAACGGATTGTCTGCTCCCCTTCTAGCCCAAAGCCCCATCCCAAAAGCCCATCCCAAAATCCCCCACGCCACCCATTCGAAAGCCCCATCCAGTTGCCACGCTTGTCGGCGCCCTTGCTGCTAGCATCCATCTCCGGGTTGTCCCCTGCCAGTGTGGGCAGGCCCAGCTAGTAGGCGAGGCCATCCGATTGTCGCTGGCCGACCCAAAGTCCACCGCTTCCACGCCTTCCCGGTCCTCGCTCTGGCGCCTTCCCAGTAGCCCCATCCCAACATCATCCAAAAGTCCCACGCACAGCTTCTGGGCACGTTTTGCAACTGTGCCTCAAAGGTAGGTCACAACACCCCGGCTAACCTGCAATGCGAAGATATGGACTCCCAGAATGAGGTTGGATGGACACAAGATGGCCGGGCACTCAGGCATGCTGCTCCAGGCCCAAACCGGACCCTCGGCCTGCTGTTGACGACCACAAACGGCGGAGCTCCATGGGGCGCGCCAAACGCCATCCACTCTGCTCCTTCCACATCGACCTTGCCGACGCAGCGGCGCCCGCAGCCCGTAGCGCCGTGCCAAGTTGCGGAAGGCGTATGATGAGTCCTTCAACACATCGCCCCGGGCATTGCGCCCTGCCCGGGTAGCCATGAGGCGCAATTGCAAATGGCAAATGCCAAAATGTAGCCCGATGACCCAAGCCTGCGCTTCTTCACACACTGCGCAGTGCGGGCGCGGGACTCCGGCAAGCCCAGGTGCTGAACCAACAGCAGCTAAACAAGACTACTGTCAAGAACTGTGAGAACGTTTTCAAAATGGGAGGGCCCTGGCCGGGTGGCTGGAGGTCCCGGTCCCAGTCGAACTCCGTCAACCGGTGCCTTTCAAGGCGTCAAGCCTTTCAACCAGCACATGGGTTGCCACTTCCTCGCGAAAACGACCCCAAAGTTCGCGGGCCCTTTTCCAAGTTCGCGGGCCCTCGCAAAGCCGCAAAAGACGAGCCTCGCAAAACGGAGGTGTTCAGGAACAACAACTCGCCTGGTCACTTTTTCTTCTGGTAAAGCTCACAGTGTTGGTTAGTTGGTTCACACTGGCGGCAGCCTCTAAAAGTCTGGGTTCAAGGCTTAGTTTCGGCTTTAGGGTGGCACGCGGGGTGGCAAACGAAATGGACCTCAGGTGGTTCGCGGCATCATGTTCGGACGTCGTTGGTTCGGCGCGCAAGCGACCCAAGGATTCAAGGACGTAACATTTGGCCCTGCGTGTGACGGAGTGCGCATGTGGCCCAAAAAAACACGCAGCTTGTCCAACACGTGGAAAACGCCTAAAGGCTAAAGGCCTGAGGCTACTATAACGTCCAGTTTAACAAGGTAGTTGAACCACCTATAGGAATCGGTTTTGGGTGCTGCTCAAGTGTAGAACCCCTCTTGCAGGGGCAGCTCACCAAGGCGAACCTCGGGCCTTGATATGCTTGAGGCTGTTGGCTTCAAACGGAAACCAAAAAAAACGGCCGAAGCCGTTTCAATGTGGGGGGCCACATCCCCATTCACGCACGTAAGCTCATGGTTTGTCATTGTTTTTCTCTGCTCCGGTTTATGAAGGGAGTATGCCTCAAACTCGCCGGAAAAAAATGTTTTCCAAAGGAGAACGACCAGGAGCAAATCTGCATTTGTCTCAACGGGGACCCCTGCAAGGTGGTTTCTTTTTGGTTTACCCCCCACACACTAACATGGAAGTGGACAAAGCCCCTTTCCAAGGGGAAGGTAGTCTTTCTACAGGGGTTTGTGCACTTCCAATGCTAGTCGGTGGGAGAGTACCAGTCCGTCCATTTGCTTCAGTCCCTCCATTTGCTTAAGCCCCCTGGAAAAAAAACAAAACAATATTTCCAGTAATAATTAGATTCCCTTTAAAACCAACAGGGGAAAAATCAAATAAAAACCTTCTTCACCAACTGGAAGAGTCCCAAAAAGCGCAGGAGTTGTCGCCATCTCGGCTCCCGAAGCGTCCAACTCCCGAGTCCAAGCAAATTGACGCCTTGCGGCCGATGGTTCCCATGCGCTCTTGGAACTTCCGGACCTGCGCAGATCGGCGCGCGTTTTCTTTGCGAGCAAAACGGGGGCGCGACATGGAGATGGGTTGCTTGCCCATTTTTGAAGTTGACTTACAAGAAAGAAGAAAGGCAAAGGAAAAACACAAACACCCAATTTTTAGGCTCATCCCCCCTATTTTGAGACAAACCCACACCCTCTAAAAGTCTTGGGGGCCTTGTTTTCGGGGGCGTTCCTGGCCTATGGCGATTTGCCCGAATCTAAGTTCGCCTCCGATCAACATGGAACCCGCCAGAGCTGTTCTTCTTTGGCCAATAGGGAGGAAACCAAAGGCCCCCTCTCGCAGGTTCGAGATCTGATCGGTCCTGAGAACCTCGACTTGCTGGGTTGTCGGAAATGGAATCCGCTTCTGTGATACAACATAACCCCAAAGACTAACACCCCATATCAAGGGGGACGATTCCCAAAAATATCACAGTGGGAATAAACCCCTTAATTCCACAACCCTAAGTGGAGATGTTTGACTTTTCAAGGACCCATGTTTCTTGGATACCTTGGATGCCGCACCTCGCAAAAGAAGCATCACTCGGTTAAGATAGGGATTTGGACCCTCCAACAAGTGGTGCCTAGATAGCCAAGTTGTTGCCTTTTGCAGTCACTGTTGCCGGTTTTCGGGGTAAGGTGTTTAAGGTGGATGGAAAGAAGCAGCAACTCGCGCAGGTTATCCTCTTCATGAATGTCCCTTTAAGTCAACCCGCAAAGGTTGCCGTCAGACAGTATACGCCTTGTCAACACAACAACTTCGTTTCGCTTCATCTTCCGCCACAAGCCAAGCGGAAAGGGAAACGTGTCAGTACCAATCGACCCTCTCTTGACGCAATCACCAATCACCGGCGCGCCTTGTCCACGAACTGTTTGTACCTCACATGCAAAGTGCACGAGGGTTGGCTGCACAATTTGCTTAAACCAGTTGCCCTGGATAGGCAAAAAGGAGATGGTTTACACAAAGAATCGCTTAACCATGCCATGTTGAAATAAGGGGTTTGCCCGCACGCCAATCTGCTAATCCCTGCCAACCCCTTTGAGAAGGTCTTAGACCTTTAACTCAGGGACGGACCTCTTTGCAAGAACATCGGCCGTGCCAGTGTGAATTGGGTGCTTACAACATTGCATGCAAGTTTTCGTGGGAAGCAACGGCATCGTTCAGGGACAAATACAACACCGGAAAACAAAACCACTTTTGACACAACTTTAGACAGCATTTTCATGGTAGAATGTCAGCAGGGTTCTTTTGCTATCACATAGGAGCTTGACATGCCAGCTCCTCGCCGGGGGAGGGGCAAGAGGAATCCGCTATGTGCCGCATTTGGCATATGTACAAAACACCCAATGGCTTGTGAAGAGTGGCCACGCAAGGGGCCAAATCCGGTTGTACTCCTGGCGTTTTACATACTGCCAGAAAGAAAAAGATGCCTGATGTGTCTTTTTCCGCCAAGTCACGAATGGTGATTGGGCGACATTACCAACGCGTATCAAGTAAGTGTGTTTGGCCACGCATGAATTTTGTTTGTGTGTCAAAACAGCAGAGGCCTGGGTCGGGGTTGTGGTGCTTGGTCGGTGAACGGAATTCCACCCCCCGCCGCCGGCACCCCCACCCCCCAACAGAAAGAGGTCTCGAGGGTGAATAAACGCACCTTTGAGAAGGGCACTAGTGTACGGGCACCGGGTACGGGTGGTAAAGTTGTTGTTAGCATCTCACGCGTCTGGGTCAATTAAACAACCAGAAAGAAAGAACAAAAACAAACAGGCAGGTTTCAGTCCTTGTGTCCATTTACCTTTCCATTTTGGGGTTGCCAGCTATTTTTTACCCCACGCACTTCTTCCTTGTGCGATTCAACCAGGGGTTCAACCAGGCGCGAAATGGATCGATCCCCCCGAGGGGAATGGGTGGGATGGGTGGGTCCCCTATTCCATGTGGGTCTGCCCATTTTGGAGGGTACCATTTTCGGGATGGTTTTAAAGGGAAGCCAAAAAAACACTTGGACGGGACACCCACACACCCATGTCGCATGCTTCCCACAAAGTGGAAAACGGAGAGCCTGCGTGCTTCGTCGCAGCATTTGTCTTCCAACTAGAGGCTCAGAGAGAGGGGCCCGTGCGCTTTTTTTTCGGGGCCCTTTTCGGAGCCCACCGGTCTTCGGGGCCGAAGCCTAAAGGCAATCTGCGAGTTCAAGGGCCCTTTGCAAACTACACCGCTGGGTGGTTTAAAAGGGCAAGCTCTTAGCGGCTTGGAGATCATATTATGTTTCGGCTTGCGGGGAATGAGTCGCTAGGCCCTCCAGTAGAGAGGGTTGAAGAAGGGTGCCCGATTTGTTTCTGTAGTCTATTTTAGTAGGGGAACCCTCCCAACCAAAAAAGAAACGGTAAAAGGGCACTACTGGGGGACCTAGAAGGTCAACGGGTTTGATGCCGCCAAAAGTGGAGAGAAAAAAGAAGAAAAAAACGAGAAGCCACCGGGTGCTCGGTCCGCGCACTTGAAGATCACGGGGTGCTCAGTGGTGAGGCGCTTGGTCTTGGCATGGTAGTACGCCTGATTACCTGCGCTCCGGCTCCTTTGGAGCTTTTAAACCACCAAAGGGGTGTTCCTGTTGCCCGGTTTTGGAGTGGTCAAGCGAACCAAAAGGACACCGAACATGTTAACGTTGGCACCCTGCTTAAACACATTCAGGATGCGCATGACACTGGAACATGGCCATGTTCTGGGTCAAGAGTGGGGCTGGAACTCAAAAGGCGGTTCATGTGAACACTGATGTCATGCTGAAAACACCGGGTTGTTCAAAATGGGCGATTTCCCAATCCTGCTCCGCAATGGGGCACCACGGCAACAAAGGACATCCACCAGCTCTTGTGGCTACATCTTGCAAACTCCCCGTGCGGAAAATGAAAGGACCCATTGTTTAAGTGCTCTGAGGACGAGGCCATTTCGTGAAAGGAACCCTTGCAGGATTGGATTTATTTGGTAGTACATAATCTTTGCCAAAAAGGGAACAGCAACAGGTTACACCAGAGTCAAGATGGATGGCACAATTGCCTTTATGTGAGTAAGTGAAGGGGACGACATGATTCGACCAACAAGGGGAAACTGTGCCATCCAGTTCCAACTGCAAAAGGCCAATTGGCTGTTAGCAATGCCAAACAAGTAAACAAATCAGCGCCTTATCTCATGGGGACTGGGGGGGACGGAGGGGAGGGGGAGGGGGCCCTAAATAAGGCCTTATTAAGGGCTTAATAAGGGCTTATTTGGGGCTCCCTCCACTCCCTCCCCCCCAGCCCCCATGATTATCATTCGCCAACCCGTAATAAGGGTCCCACAATACAGGAACCTTCACCATGGGTGAGGTCGCAAGCCCCTTCGATCAGGAGCTGACAGTTGTCCAACGAAACGAGTAAAACGGCCGCCGCAACTCGCGACTTGCGAGCGCGCCGTCATCATCCTCGAACTCCACCCAGTCAGGAGGCAGCTCAACCTTGCAAGAGTTTCCCGAGCGAGGCCATTGTACGCTGATCGAGGGCACTCCAAAGATGCGGATCAAGGGCAAGAGGATCACTTGCGCACCCCCAAACATTTCTCACTTTCCACTCGGCAAGCGAAAATCATCAAACACCCGCGCGGAGCGTTACTCTTTGCAGCCCCAGCACCGGATCACTTAAGCCGTTGCTATCAACCGAGTGCGCGCAAGTGATGGAACCCAGGTCGCTGGAACCGGGAAACCAGAAAACATGGGGAGAGTAATAGGAAATGAGTAGCTACACGTGCTGCTATAGTTATGACCATGACTTAACTTGGAGTTTTTGTGCCCCAGCCATTCGACCTGTTCGGACATGAATATAATCATTCTGAAAATTATATAAGTGCTAACAATTCCTGAAACAAGTGACCCCACCCCTAAGGAAAGGACCTACATCATAGCAAGCTCTTGCAACCCGCAAGTGAGCTGGCCATAAAACCAGGCAAGGGTAGAAATCATTCTATTTATTTTTAAGCCATGCCAACGCTTCTCCCGTTCAGTGGTAGCTCAGGGAAACAACCTGCTTCTGACTTTGATAGCCTCGAGAAATAAAATCAAAATCATGGTCCCAGGTTGTTTTTTTCACATGCAGCCACTATATGGCCAGCTTGGAGATTCAAACACCCAGAAA